TCATATTTGCACTGAGAGATGTTGCACGTCCCCCAACGTGACTAATGCTGCTGCTTCCTGTCGCACAGGCCGTTACACACCCAGCTGACAGCTGCAGCAAACCAGGCTGTTTATGACTCATTAACCGTGAAGAAAACAGTACCTGCTCACGATAGACACACAGGCGAGGGGGTGTAACGTATAGAAAGGGTCTGCACTGGTCTGATGGATGTGCACTGCGGCAGCAGACACACGGGGACTTCTGAAAGTGAGGGAGGGAGGGAGAGGTGGGGACGGGGGGGAAATGAAAAAATGAACTGAAAGCAGCTGCTGGAGAGCACAGAAAGCAATCAGCAGAGGTGGGGGACACATGCAGACACACTTTAAAACTAGAAAGGCGTTAGCTTCAGCAGGAACTAGCCCCCCGGGCTCTCTGCAGCAGCAGCGCTCTCCGCTGCAGGGTGATTTCATAACCAGAGACAACAGACACCCCAGCAATCATCAACCCATCAAAGCCGCCATCTAGATGAAAGAGCGCCAAAAGGGATTAGCATGTTACCTCAGTGCTGCCGCGTGACCAGAGACGGGGAATAAAAATCAGACGTCATTGTTTGCTATGCTGCTCCGGTGTTGCAGATTTTGTTCAGGGCGACATTGGGCCAGCGTGGCGTCAAACGCTGCATCGAATCCACGCTGTCACATGAAATGCAACCAACGTCTTGCCTTGTGTGTGTAACAGAGTGACTCTTTGATAGGTCTTCCAATTTGTGTGAGTCTTTCTGTGACATCAGTTATGAGTTGTAGTGGGACACCAGGTCAGATTAATCAAACCTTCCGTTTGCCTGCCTGACGTGCATCGTCTGTTATCCTCATCTGAGTGCGTGGGGGGGAGGGGAGGGGGGTGGGACCAGGTTGTAGATGTCAGAGAATTAAGATGTAAGAGAGAGAGAAAGGGTTTGTTTTGGTGCTGGCAGGCCGGTTAGATAACTGAAGGTCAGGAGGGTGTAATGTACTGCGAGTCGCACCGGGCTCTGAAATATCACATGCACGAGGAGGCTGGCCGAGGCTCTCGGCCCACACCTACCCTCAGCGCCTCCACCCCATCCTCCATTTCCCACCACAGCGCTCTTCTCTTTGCATTTCATAACCCGATTACTTCTCCCCTTTCTCGCTTTACCGTGGTAGAGAGACTTCAACAGATTCAACTTATGCACGTACGAGACACCTATAATATTCCCACTTCATGGAACAGAGCAGCGCTAATGAGGAACTTTCTGACCTACACTCGGGGGAAATGCTGTCAACACGACTGTCCCACGTGGGGCCCGAGATGTCCTCCATGTCAAGCTGTTGACACAAGAAGCGGGCGCAGCCCCGGGCCTCCATGTCTGTGGGAACTCACACGGCCCGGGTGAACCCTCTGTGGACGTACGAGCTGGTTCTGTCATTGTAAATCAAATTATTATATTGTTATAACGGACTGACTTTATTCAATAGTTATGGTTGGGCTCATTTAAGTTTCTTGGCCCTTATGAGGTTTATCTCAAGATGGAACTTCTGAGGTAAAGGAGTAACACCAAAACGCTTTGGAGTTTAATCTTTGACAAAGTGTTTACAAAGTGATCTGTGTTAGTTTAAATTAAATTGGCTTTCCATGTCGTGTGCGTGGGTGAACTGGAACTGGATCCGTTGAACAAAGGCCAAACCTTTTAAAAGGAAACCAAACCTGTAATCAGCATCCTTTACCATCCTTTGCAATAGAAGGATATCAGATGGGTAGATAAATAAATGCAGCCAATAATGATGCAGTTATTAATGATGCATTTGAGGAACAAATTACTTCTCGTGTGATTATTGAGGTGGACAAGCTGTACCACAGAGGGTCACCTTCCTTGTTTTTTTGTTTTTTTGTGTCTATATTGAACAAAGCTCGAGTGTAATCTGTGTGCAGCGCAGCTCACGGCTGAAGGTAACCCGTTGTTTACAGATTAAGCCCGTTCCTACGGAAGAACAAGCTGACCCAAATTGTTAAGGTCAGGGGAAGAAAAAAAACACATCATACTGAATTGTCGCATTCATGTTTATGTGGATGTGCGTGTGAATAATGCACACCTGCTTGTGTGTGAGGGGAAAGGCTCCTGCTGAGGCCCTCGCTGCAGTCATGTGTGCGTGTTGGAAGAGCCTGCGGAGAGAGTAAAGTATTGTGTTTCTATTTTATTTATTAGACTTTTATATAAGCAGCAGCGGGGGGGGGGACCCACTGAGACAGGGTAAAGGGCGCCGAGCGATGAAATACGGTAAGAGTGCACGGGGCTGGACCGGTACAAGTAAGTTAAGGGAACAAAAGAGATTTAACAGAGAGAAAAAATCTGTGAATAAAAATGGAACCACACATATGCACCTGAAGAAGAAATATATATATATATTTGGAATTGTAGTGAAAGAATATGCAATTTGAAAACAAAGTATCTAACATGCATTTGAGACTGGACAAACTAGAAAGATTCCACGAATCTTCCTCACCTTTTGACTAAAAAAGCAACGTTTAACAGCTGATAAATCCCCAGATGGAGGATATCGTTCCCTGAGGATCTAATCCCAGCAGGTATTTACACGTGTGGTGTGTGAGTGTAACAGTGCATGCAAACAGAAAGGGACACTGAGACCCTTCACTTTGTCAAGCACCCGGCCTGAAGACGAGCCAGCTCGTCTCCCCCCGGGCATAATTGGCAGAACACTGTGGCCGAGCGAACAACACCAGAGTCCATCCAAGGGCCTCAGCTGCGTCTCGGGCCGCGTGGTTCTAGGAATAGAAAACGTAAGCGCTCTGCTTTGCTTCCTTCGCAGAAAACGTGATGCCGCTGGACTGTCGGGAGAGAAAAAAAGTGAGAAAGCCTCCATGAAGGGGCAGGAGAAAGCAAAAAGAAAAAGGGGGTGAAATACTGCAGCCCTCCCCCGTCAGTCAGTGCTGACGGTGTGTAGCGGCGCCTCCCTCCCCCTCTCCTTGCTGCGTGGGGTTGGGTTTACATAACCCACTGCAGCACACCCGTCTCCTCTCCCAGGCAGGCAGCAGAGACACGGCAACACTTGCATTAAGGTTTACAGTATGCGCTTCATGTAGTTTACAGTGCGCTGGGCTCCTCTCACGGCTGCATGCATGCATGCATGCATGTACGAGCATGTGCACGCACACACCTGTCCCGGGGACATCGGTGCAACGCCCGTCCTGAGCTCAGGTCGCACAGCGGCCTCCTCCGGGACAAGCAGCTTCATCATGACTTTTCTCTCACTGCGCTGCCCTGACAGAAGCTGCTTCATAAGCAGCATCTACTGCGTCCCACAGTATCGAGGGAGGCCTCCATTTTCTCCACTGTACTCACAGCGGTCTTTGTAAAGAGAGAGAATTGATGTGCTTTATAACTCTTAATCACTAACTCAGTGTTTTATGTCCTGGGCAGCTACAGCTAGCTCAGTCTGCACGGGGCTGAGAGAGAGAGAGAGAGAGAGAGAGGGGTCGGGCACTAGGGTTGTTAAAGTGATCCGCTGTGTGTGTGTGTGTGTGTGTGTGTGTGTGTGTGTCTGTGCGTGTGTGGGTGAGAGACATTGTGTGCGTCATTCTGGTTGATGAACGTGAATCAGTAACCTGTTGTTCTCCACATTCCCCTTTCACTGTGTGACTGAAACGGGATCAAGTCTCAATAACTCACCTGACCTCGCTAGACTGGAACACCGACACACCTAGACATTTCTCCAACTTTCACATACTCCAAATCACACATGATGTTTTACATTATTACATTCTTTTTTTTTTTAGAAGCAAGTTTAGGCTGAAAGGCAAAACGGCCACAATGGCAGCATTTATTTCTTAAATATGATTTTTGTAAATAATTAATAAAGTAGAAAAAGTGCACGTCACTCAGTAGAGCTACTGTTGTATTGTGTGTTGAATGGACACAACCCAGAATAAGCTACGCACCCGCATAAACACCAATGAGATATAAAGCTTTGCAGAACCCACTTCATTCAAAGTCAAAAACGATGCATCAGTTATGTGTGTACAATCTTACCCAAACCAAAATGAACACCCTTTCTGGACTACCGGTCCTATTCGCTCTTAGCTAAACACCTGCAAACTCTACATCATCGGAGTGATGACACAACCGTCCACACTGATACTTCTGGTCCCCAAACAACCACAAAGTGCTGATGAGCTCAATAGCTGAACCAAGAAAGTGAACATAGTGAACATTATACCTGCTTAACCTCAACAACGTCAGCGTGCTAACATCAGCACCACAGGGCCTGTAAAGATCCTCTGCGGGGATTTTGTTTCAGTTCCTTTTGCATTTCACGTACAGACTTAATGTCACGAACACGCAATCAGTGCTGCGTCAATTCTACAGGAATTGACGATGCAGAATGTAAAAATGTCCTAAAATATTTCTAGTTATTTTGAATTGCGGCTGTTGGAAAGCCATCAAATAAAGGATCTTTGTGACAACTGACCAGTAATATCAGCTATGTCTTCTAGTTGAGGCTATTTGTAGAGACAGGGTGATGAGTTCGGAGAGGAGTTAAAGAATGGCGCGGACACCAACGCCAAGTTGTATTTATAATACCCATAACGCCTTGCTCGGCCTCTCCTTCTGTGCCCTGCCTGGCCTGGAGGACGGTCGCCTCTCAGCATTACTGCCTCAGATCTCCGCTTCTCCCGTCGAGTCAGTTTAGCTTAACGGAGGAGATTTGGTTCCACTCTGCATTGGTTTCCAATTCTCATCCCCATCAACTGCAGAACTGGCAAAGGGTCAAATGCCAGTTAAGGGTTTTGTTATGCAAGTAAACAATTGGTTGACATTTGGTCCCAATTTGTTTTCAGGAACAACTCTGCACTTATTCTATTAACCTCCGTTTTGTGAGTAAATTGGACTAAGCAGTATAGTTCATGGACAGCAGCGTGAGTCATGCACATGAATCACGCTGCTGGCAAACATATTAACAAAAGGCGCTGCAGGAAACTTTCATTACATAAGACAATCGATTTTTTATTTCTCACCTTTTCTGTACACAACATAAACAAGCAAATACACGATCACACTCACCCGGATCTTAAGAAAATATACAAAACTAAATATGGCTTGTTTATATGCCATGTGGGCTGAGCACTGATAATAAAGTTGAATGAAAAGGTAACAAAAAGTTTATTATTCATCATCATCATCATCATCTTCCACCTCCTCCCCTTCCCCTTCCTCCTTTCCGCCCTCCTCCTCCTCCACCTCTTCCTCCTCCTCTTCTTCGTCACTGATGACATATTTCTTGGCCTTCTTGGTGGCTACTTCCTGCTCCTCCTCGTCGTCGTCATCCTCTGCCTTTCTCTTGCTTGATCCTTCGCCCTCCTGCACAGAACAGAACAGAACACAACAGACGGCGCTCAGTTGCAGACGTTCTGTACAGCTTTTCACTACGTTCCTTTCATCTAGAGTTACGGATACATTGTGTTTTCTGCCAGGGCAGGATTAAGTGCATGCTCATTAAAAAGTACTAGTAATTCTTGTCCTGTTCACACGAACAAGGTTACATATCTAGTATTTCAGCTCCTCGATGAACTGCGTCACACTGCCCCCTGTGTGGTCAACAGCTAACTGCACCCACCTCATCGCTGTCTAGCTTCTTGGCCTTCATCAGCCTCTGGGCCTTGTCATCATCTGAGCCTTCATCACTGTCGGACGAGTAGATCCTTGCTCGCTCCTCTGTGTGAGGGGGGGATGCTCATTAGAGATCATTGACTTCACAAAAACCCTCGGGAGAAATAAGATAAGAGAGAATGTGAGCATCCATTCCTCCTCACCTCTCAGGCCTCCTCCCCCCTTGTATTTGCTCTTGATGGCCGCCAGGCTGACTGCTTCCTCGCCATCCTCCTCGTCATCGTAGCGGTCGGGCTCCAGGTAACCGCTGCTCAGGCCTCTCTGGTGCTGCTTCTCCCTCATCCTCCTCTGCTGGGACTCTCTGCGGATGGAAGCTCGCAGCCGCTCCTCCTCTTTCTGCCAGCATAGACACCCGACAGGGTTTATGTGTTAATGGTTATATGATGTTAATGTGAGGAGGTTTTCAGCCACAGTTGAAATATCAGTTTCAGGTATTTTTCACTTAATTATGAACCTATGTTAGCTACATACTCTGCAGCATCATGGTACATCCAGAATATATTTTAAATGTACCTCCATGAGTACCCATGTATCTTACAAGGAAGGAAAACGTATGGGGGGGGGGGTTACAATTAACGGTGCTGCTACACTGAAACTGTGCAACCTGCTCTGAAAATACAACACAAATATCTCAGCAAAATGCACGAGAAGAGAACACTTTGTGTCGTAGTTGTGTTTTTAAAGTTAAAACCATACTGCTACCTGACAGTAAATACATAACCAGCCGCCCCCCTGATTCACTGACACTTTCTATTTCAGGGACCACAGAGTAACCCCATTATGGAAGCACATCACATTATGTCTTCTTCACCTTGAAATTTCCCCCACTGTGCGAGTAATGAAGGATTGCGGATGCACTGCGCTCGCTACCTTGATCATTTCATTGCGATGCGACTCCGGGTCTCGTCCCGCCATGGGAAGGATTCGGATCTTCTGTGTCTTGGAGCAGCGGTCGGCCAGAGACAGGGTCATCTTCCTGTGGGTGGCGCTGTCTGTGGAGTGCGGCCTAGAAATACAGAGGAAACATAATGTCACATCTCAGGTGTATATTTCCCGGTGTCTTAAAAGAAATTCCAAAATAGCATTAAAGAAATTGGTGAAACTGCACTATCTCATTTTTAAACAGCGGATGGCAGTTAATGCGCCAACTTCTACGAGCAGGAAAAGGTGACAAATAAGAAGAGTGCTAGCAAGCAAACATGGATGTGACCAATGTAGGTTCATTAGTAAGAACTTTCAGCACATTTCTTTGCGGAATGACAAAACATTGTGCTGGGAAATACTGAAATGAAACCCAAACTGTTCCAGCACCTCTTCGCATCGTACACGTCAGGCTCAATTGCACCCAAGAAGAAAGAACCCAAAACCTAAATGTTCAGCTCTTATGTCACATTAGAGAGATAACGTCTGTTAATTGGCGATATTTTTTGCTTTAAGATCCACAGGTCCATCTTTGGCACATCAAGCTCATTAGTTAACTAGCTGTAAAATAAAATATCAACCCACACTGCATCAATCCTGCTAAAATAAAACAATTGGTACCACAAGCAGCTTTGGCTCTATTCAAAATCAAAGCTCCGATGATATTACACAAGCAGAACAAATGTTAATATCCTGTCTGGCAGCGTGGAGGCTTGTTGTGAATGAAAGCAGCTTTGGCCTGTGTCCTATTTGTCCCATGTGGTCTGAGGAGACAGAACGTCCAGGTGGACCTGGGGGCCACTAAGAGGCTTACACACTTCTTATTGGGAGAAACCTGGGCAGCCTGCGCGAGGTGACCCGGGACTTACAGCATGAAGTGCATGACTGAATGAAACAACTCTGCTATTGTTGTTGTTGTTTGCAATCATGGGGCCCGTTTGGCGCATGCCAGGGATCCAGGCCGAGGACAGTCCCGAGCAACCAGTGTTTGCCTCGAGTGATAACGCGCGTGTCCTAGTAGCGGCTGTCACCGACAACAACAAGGGCTCTTCACTGCGTTACCTGAAGGTGAGCTTGGTTTTGAACACAGCCTGTCCCTGCAGTCCGGTGCCCTGTCGGATGAACAGGTGGTTGTGGTCTCCCTGGAGAGGAGCTTTGTAAACATCAAACACCTCATTCCCTAGGTGGAGGGACATGCTGTGGGGGAAAAAAACAAACAATTAAAACCACCGATTGTGTAACCAGAGCACCCCCCCTACACACACATCAACATGAATACACACCTGCCGTCGGACCATTTGACGATGCGTGCATTGCTTTCCCGTGATTCGTTTCCCTCCTCGTCTCTCTTGGCTCGCCAACGAATAGTATTCTCGACCTGTGAGGGACATAGAGGACACACTGGTCCCTCTCTTGATCACAGCATCGATCCATAGATACGACAACAAACCTGTGTGTACACACACACACACACACACACACACACACACACACACACACACACACACAAAGCAGACTACACACCTTCAGCTTGAGCCTGGTCCGTCCCTCTTCGTCCAGCATCTCTTCATCCTCAAATTCGTCCTCATAGTACTGAGGATCAAAGGGCCTGTAAAAGGGTGAAGAACATCTAAATGAGTATAAATGAGTTACACGTGGGATTTAACGCTCATTTAGGACTTAACGGCCTACTTCAAAATAAACTATTTTATTTTAAACTACTAAGTATAAAGATTGGCAGCCAAAACGTGCCGATCTGCATCCCTTCGTTCTTTCTTTCTATGTGCTTGTATTGCATTTGTTGAACAGGCCCCAGTTCTGACCTGGGCTCCACAGACAAGAAGTTTGGCAGCTTGACAAAATAAAGGTCAGATCCCAAGTCCGTGCTGACTTTCGGGATCTCGACTTCGATTCGGGTTTCAGGGGCGTGCTCCTCTTCTGCATGATCGCCCTCCATCCCATCCTCTGCATCCTGGACACAGACGCACGACAGAGAGAACATTGTGATATTCAATAACCCGGGATCGTGGGGGATCAGCTCAGAGAGGCTTAGCAAGAGGCTCTGAGGAAAAAGAGATTTGGGAACTCGTATGATATAATAATGAAAAGGTTTTAAAAAAGGATTGGGCACAATTAAAGAGGCTTGATGATCAGTACAGGGGGACGGACAGTACCAGGGGCTGTCCCGGGGTGGGAGGCTTCTCCGCGTCGCTGTCTGAGGAGATGTCGTCGGCCTCTCCAAACAGGTCGTCTGCCGCCGTCTTCTTTACTGTGAACAGAAGGACTGCTTGAAAGAACACGGGCAGTAAAACAGCAGATTTAAATTGCAGACCAGAGAACCAAAACGTTCAGGTTGGCCGTAAAAAAGAAAAAAGAAAAATCCAAACCGTTTCTTACCTTTCTTTGACCCGACATCGCTGTCTGAATCTGAATCGTATGCGGCTTTCGTTTTAGTTTTCTGTCTTAAGAAATCATCTTCACTATCGCTGCCCTTTGCCGATTCTGAAATGAGAAATCACAACAGTCGATGAAGCAGTGGAATTTTTACACGGCCAAATGCTACAAACTAAAACAAGGCAGAGGACACATGCGCACTTCTTCCACAAAATCCAACGTGTGAGGATTTTCATTGATGATCCGGTTTGAGGCCGATCCCTCCACCGTTTACACAGAAACCACAGTAGTACCTGACTTCCTGTTCCTCGGCCCCTCGTCGTCAGAGTTCTCTCTTTCTTCGTCGGAGTAACGGCGTTTCTCCTCCTCATCCTCCGACTGGTCGCTCTTGGCCCCTCCTTCCCACTTCTCATCATCAGACTGGTTCTCCCTGCCGGAGGCCTCTCCGTCGGACAGAGGGGTGGCGGCCCCCGACTGCGGCGTCCCGGGCTCACTGTGCACGCTGGATTCAAACAAACGCATCCAAGGAAACAAAGAATAGAAATCTGGTCAATAAAAGGTAAGTGCCCCATTGTGATATTACAAGTTACAACATCTGTCTCATGTCAAAGCAACGACTGAAGCGCATCGTCTTTCTGTTGTTCGGTTTAACAATGCCGGCGTACCTTCTTTCCGAACGCGCGCTGCCCATCTCGGAGTGAGGGCTCCCCTCTGCCGACATCCCGCTGCCGGCCGGGCTTCCTGCACCCGACCGGCGCGCCTCGTCCTCTTCATCCTCGTCTTCGTCCCGGCGGCCGCGCTCCGAGCCGCTGTGCTGCTCGCCGTCGGAGTGGTCGCGGTCCGCCGGCTCCGAGTGCATGCTGGCCTCAGACTGGTTCGCCGACCTTTCCGACTGGTTGTCGCTGCCACTGTGTTGACTGTGTTGCTCGTCCTCACTGTCGTCTCCAAACAGCTCCTGTTGGGTGGGAGGAAAGGGGAGTAAGTGTGGGAGGGGAGTGGGGCGTGACCCATGGGCCGCGTTTTGGGGATTTAGGAGAACATGGCAAAATTTACTAGTTTCATGTCATTTGAATTTTCTCTTAAAACTATTTAGGGGCGGCCCAGACTCGTCTCAGGAGGCTGGTGCTGTTATCCATGCCTTCATTATTTATATCGCTTTACTTTTAAGCAATCGAGTTTAAAAAAAACTTTCAATTTTAGTAATGTGGACATTATCTTGAATGTGATTTTAACGATAGCTTTTTCATACAGTCTAACAACATCACCAATCCTTTAGATTTACTATAGATGCTATTATAAACAGTTGAATCATAAATAACAACTCAAATGGCAAAATGATCAATTATTTGTTCCTTTCTTGTTGTGGTCAAAGATCACTCTGCTACAGCAGAACGTTTTTCAAATGGAACCTTTTCTTCTTTATTCCCGGGACGGTACGACGCGGCATTAACCACACTCCTTAAGTCTTTCCCCATTCCATGCATTCTTTGGGCTGGTGACAGTTATCGATCTCCAAATGCAGGACTTCGGTATAGGTCACATGTAGGAGGACACGTAGCCGTAAATGAAAATACGGTGGCGTATTCATAGTAACCATGAACACACGCTCGTTGAGGCACAAGTAACATTCATCACGTTTATGTTGGTTGACATTCACCTGGAGTTGGAAGCGTTTCCTGAATGAGACGTGACACACTTGTTGGAACCCATCGTACAAAAGACGTACGAGAAAGTTAAGTTCAAATGGAAGGGACATACCAAACTTTGATTTCTTTTAAAGAAAGAAAAAAATAAGACAAAGATTATAAATTGTATTTGTGGATTCGCGCATATCCAATCGGATCAGAATCAGATAAAATCTCTGTTTGTCTGCTGTTAAAACCTTTTCCAGTTTTTCCTAGATTTCCCTAATAGTTTTGCAATATATTGCAACATGTAAAAAGATTTATAAACTAATAGTTCCTCACGTACACACTGTACAGAGTGAAATCTAAGCTCAGAATGATGCTTTTTCTTCTTGGGGGAAGTTCAGTCAAACACACCTTATTGATGCTGGGTTTTCCTTCCTCCTGGCCTTCCTCTTCTTCCTCATCATTCTGTTCCCGCTCGCTGTCGCTGCCGCTCCCCGAGGCGTTGCTGGCAGATCGGGGTCTCTCCTGCTCAGAGTCTGAGCCGGAGCCAGAACCGGACTCTAAACAAAGAAAAGCACACGGTTTCATCCAGCGAGAAACACAGTTCATCGTCTTGCAGAGGGACGGATTGCTCTGTGACGCAGTTCAGAGCATTACAGATGTGTGTAGTTCTACATTATGTCTGTGTTCTGCATGACATATTGTAAATGGATGGGTCATTTAATTCATACATGAAGCAGGATTTTAATGGGTAGGAAGATGTTGTTGGTTCTGATTTTATTTGTTGACCTGGACTGCGTTATATTGACAACATCACTTCAAAGCACAAGCTTAACCGGAAACACGAAATTTAAGTCAATTCAAACGTAAAAGTTAAGTTAAAAGGTTACATTATTAAAATGTATAATCTGGGAAATGAGAACATCTTAACGTCCCTGATATTACACTCGTCGTTAAGTGAAGCGACTTCTAGCTCCACTAACAGATAGCTAGCCATGTAACGCTACGTTAGTTAACGTTAGCTATTTAACACTAGTTAGCACACGTTAGTTAACGCTAGTTGGGAAACACAAAGGTCGACCTATCGTTGAATGGATACTCGTGCACCTGTTTATAACAAAGCCGTTTTCTTATATTGGGTGGTAACGTTAATGATAAATATCGGTGTGGCGTTCAGGTTACACTTCTTTCAATGATTTGTGCATCAGAGCTAACGTTAGTTTCTGCTTTAGCAACTGGAGAAACACTTGAGAACTGCTGTAACTTCATCTACAACTAATTTCCACGGTCGAGCGACGTCTTTACCTCGCTGCTCATTGTCGCTGTCCCCATCACTCCCGAACAACTCGTCCATGTCCGCCATTTCTTCCGAACTGTGTAGTGGAAATGTGACCTGCAGGAAATGATCACCGGACTCAGGTTGTGCTTCCGGGTTCAGACGGACGGCGGTTCCGGTGTAGTGATCGTCCGCGGCCACAAGGCGGCAGTAGAGACCCGAGTTAATTATCAATGTCAGCCGTTTAAAAAAATAACAATGCATAAAATACTTTTTTATACTCTTTTAGAATTTAAATATATATCTTGTATGCATTGTAAAAAAAAAGCACGCAAGAAAATACTAATATAAACATGTTTGTGTTGTATTGTGTTGATTGAGTATGAATTAATTTATTATCAATCTGTATTTAAAAGTACATAATGAAGTGCATCTCAAAATGTTGCATTGTGCCCAGATTAATTGTATTGCTCATTTGTTTTTTATTGTAATCAACTCTTGATTAGTTTGCCACTCTACAAAGTGATTGCACCTGAAGTTTCACGCAGAATGTGTTGATGCTAAGGGGCTGAGATAACTAAACCTATTTTTAACACAAAAGGAAGGATATCTAATTTTGGAACTTTAGTTTGTCTGCAATGCTTGGCTCAGTGTACACCTTCAAATTCACCGTCACCTTTTATTCAGAGACATGTCTGCTTTCCCTAATAATTAGACTCATTTGGCCAAACAGCTGCAAATGTTCAGGATTAGAAGAATTGGATCAAACACACGCTCACAGATGTTGCTTACTTCTTCTCCAGGTTTTTTCAGTAACTGCGTTGTGTATGAGGACACCGTCACCACCACCTCATCACACAGCGGGTCAGGTCAGCTGTCACCTCGAGGGACTGAAATCAGATCGCAGATGGAGTATTTTCTCTAAAATGAGTCCAGTTTGCTTCCCGTTCAAAATAAACGTATCTCCAGTGGTGCAGCGGTTAAAGCTATTGACTCTCACCTTGACTCCCACACAATGCGAGGGGCCGTCCCGTTCCCTCGTAGCCTCTAATGTGTGAGTGCAAACCCTTATGGGACAAAGACAAATCCAGATTCATACCTGGATTTGTACAGCGTCTGCAAGTCGCCTCTGGAGTGGGAGTCAGTCCAGTGAAGTTTAATCCTCGTCAGCATCACTGCCCGGGCCTCACCTAATCCACCCTCCTGACCAGCAGCTGCCATAATGTCACATCTCGGCAGACCGCCCGCGGCAAAGTGCCGAGGAGAATACCGTCAACTTCACACTCACTTAGGGACACTTGACAGTTTGTTTCATCATGAGCTGGTGCTCCGTTGTTTGAGGATTAACACAACTATCAAGCTTGGTTTTAGGGGGTCGTCGATGCCCCCGTAAAGGCTTCATCCCCGTGGACGGCCACAGATGGCACTCTTTCACTTTAGACTCAACGTGGCCTCCTTTTTCATGGCAGTTCTCTTTGGACAGCAACCTCCAATGGGGCAATGGAGTAGAAGCTCTCTCCCCCACAAAAGTCTCTTTTTTCCAAATGCGGAGGAGCAGTGCTTATTATTAGTTGTGGTCTGAGGGAACAGTTGTACTGTAGTTACATAAGCACTAACTGTATATTTCACTGTGAGAGGGTTTTTTTTCTCCCTTCTGGTGTGATTAACAGACCCGACATAAACCTGCTGTTCCTCGTCCTCCTCTATGCACAGAGTGGAAACACTGGAGTCGTTCCCTCCGGCCACGGCTCAGCGTTTCTCCCTCACAGCAGCTCACAGGCACAGGAAACCCGGAGAGGGATGGAGTCATACGCATGACATCATCTCTGAGGTATGTGCAAACAATCGGAAAAACTGGATCTGATTAAAGGGTGCAGCCCCACACCACCAAGAGTCCCTCCCAAACTAAGAGAGAGCCTTCTGAATGTGCAGTGGTTACACTACTAGAAAGAACGGCAGATTTTTTAGTAACATTCAGAGGCCTTGATGAATGAATGAATGGAGTCCACACAAGAACTAAGCATCTCCATGACAACTGAGTAGACGCCATGAAATCCATGGACATTTTCCAAAGATGGACTGTGTGGCAATATTTATTTTTTAACATAATAATTTATCTTAACTATAGGTCATAAGACATTTGTACCACTTTAAACAAGATTATATATATAATATATATTATATATATATGATTCAAGAAATGCAAAAAGGGCACATAGAGCATGTAAAAACATTTATTGTTGAGCATATCTTATATTCACCAGTGCGTTTTACCAGTCCTGTGGTTTTATAACAGCACAAATTCCTTATGTTGAGTCTAGACCTGGGTTTTTATTTAAGGTGGAAAAAAATGTGTTTGTCTCTGTGTGTTCACTTTGAGATGACATTTTATAATCAATATACATATTATGAATCAAAGAATACTTGTGTTGAGCCCAGGCAAAGAAGCACTTTTACACTTTAGCTGACTGTCCACCGGCAAAGCAGTAATGTGAAAACAAGACGAAATACTAGCAGATATGACCATGCACCGAGTACACAGATGTATATAAAAAAAAAAACACATATTGAACTCAGCAGTATAACTCTTGTCCACGGGATGTGATCCTGTTAATATGAAATAACGTTTTTGGTCGATAGAAACACGATGTTCACAGGTGATGATCATGCCAGCATATTGTTCCTATTACACATAAAACCGTGTGTATATACAAGTTTCAAGTAATCCTGAATTAGTCCTGTTAAAGCCATCGCAAGCAGCGCAGTGTATCTCAGGAGGTTCGGTTAGAGGCACGCATAGCATGTTGTCATCGGTTACATAATGAACGACAGGCTCCTGCTGAGATGCTGCTGTGAGGGAATGAGTGGACAGAGGCAGAGAAAGGAGAAATTTAAGCCGATTGTCTATCGGGGGGGAAACATTTTACAAGTTGTTCGGGGAAGAAAAACAGAAAAGCTTTGCAAGTAGTAAACGTCTACTTGCTGAACAACATACTTTATAACAAATGACCCCGAAGAACGGGAATAAGACAAAATGTAATGGCATAATGTGATCTAAAAATTGCTGTTGATTGCGGTTGGTGTGAATACTGCCAGGAAATGACTGAAGCTGACGAAGCCAGAACCTGAACCGATAACCACATGGTTACACACTAGCGTGTGTTTGGCGTGGTCAAGCAGCAGAGAAACCCTGCGTGTTGTATGGACATTTAACAACAGGCTTCCTCTGCTCTACAGCTAATATCCGGTTACTTTAAAAGCATAGTCCCAATTTTACTTCATCCAAAATATACACACCTAGTTATGGTTTCCTGTTAAAGGGACAAAAGCCATCAGAATAACCGGCCCAGGAATTTGAAAAAGACCTTAAGTTAGAATAAAAGTTTCATTATATAAAACCGTATGTGCCGATGCGTACGGTGTTAAAAGTCAGTAACTGATTAGAGGCCAACACACACAGACGTAACTGTTAGATACACCAGTCAAGCTGGCTTTACAAGGCAACAACAATAAATGGTGATCTGATCACGTGGTTATTTATGTCGCCTAATGACTGCCTGCATTCTGCCAGTGAGCTGTGGTTTTAACAGACTGGTGGGACTTTGCTTCACGTCACTCCCTGGTGCTGAAGTCAATTGCGTCTCTAATGTTCTAATGTCCAATTCTGCTGGTTGAACAGAGGAACTCCACTGGGAGCGAAGGCCTCACACTAGCACTGCGTACACGGCTGAATCGATGTTAGTTATCGTTTATACTGAGCAGTTGTTGTTACTTGGTAATGTGCATGTTTATTCCACACGATTACAGTTTAATAGAAAAGGAAAACAAAAAGAGAAAAGTCCGGACAGATTACATAAAGGCGCCAAAAAAACATGACTAAAAGCTAATCCGATTTACACCGTCAATAACAATAAACATAAGCATGGACATATAAATGGGGGAGGGCAATTCCAGTTATTTCCCTTCTTCTCAGATGTATGTTCTGGTTGAGCGCGCCTTGCCCCACAGTTTGGCACAAGACTTAAGTTTCCACACAGTGAGATGAGACCAGGGCATCGACTGAAATTATTCCACGTGGTGAGATGAAACGAGAGGATTGGCTGGGAGGCGGCGTGGGCTCCGTCCCTACTGGTCCGCTTCCACTCGCCTCTTGCGTACTGAAGAGGAAAAGTAGAATTAAAAAAATGGCGGAAATGGCATGATTTGTTTTTATTTTTCACCTGAAGTCAATAGCTTTAAGTAAAAAACTGCAAACATGCTGGACAACCTACAGAGGGCCTGTTAGTTAGTCAGGAAAGTACCAAGTGAGTCCTAATGAGCTAAGCGATCATGGTTTTAGATCCATTTCAACAGCGTGCGTCAGCAGTGTGCGGAAAAACAGGTGTGGGATGTGGTCACTCTCAAAGCTGTGAGATCACACCGTGTCCATCTCCGTAATGTTAATTCATTCAAACACTTCAATGCACTGGCACACTTGGGAGTCACACCCATGCATCAGACCTTTGCTACCTCGACTCTGACAGGATGGGGAACTAAAAGAGAGCAAAGGTCTTCACTGACGACCGACGTCTTGTGGAAAACACAACGATGTAGAAACAGATAAAACGCAGAGACGATGGAATGACTCATTCATCCAGGTAAAAGGTAATGTAATCGCAACCAGTCACCCAGTTTTTGCGTGTTTAAACGAATCTGGAACGATGTGTGTGTGTTTGCGTGCGTATCGTACCCAGGTCGTTGTTCTTGGTGATAGCTTGCCCAGCTCTGGAGCGAGGTCCTTGTTGGGTAAAATGGTAGCCAAACTTCACGATGCTGTTGTTCTCTTCCAACATTTTAGCAATCTCCATCTCTACAGTAGTACCCAGCTGCTGCCTCTGAAAGAAACACACACACATCAGAACCTCACTCTGGGTTAAACACTATGAAAGTTAGTCAGAGGTTAGACTGAATAATAAACTCATGGAGGAGGTTGGACTATTGTGATGAATTCTGCAATGAGACTTAAACATAGGAACTTACTTTACGTTTATGTTTCTTTTGAACCAGTCTGACCATAAAGCACCAAAAGTAGCCCACAAAACCTTTTATGTTCTGTTTTGAAGAACTTATATATTATGTGTATTTGGTTTTCGATGCATGTTGTTTATAATACCAAGCTGCATGTTACTAATGAAAAGTTCTAATGTCTGAGACTTGACCACGGGGAAGTAGTAGAACTTCTTCTCTACTCGTGGAAACTCTTGACCCGTGTTTTTTTCCGGAAGTGGTTTGTGCATTTGTACTACATTGGACTCTGTGAAACCACTTCATTCAAAAGAGTTTTCCCTGTGATCAGCTACACTGACCCTTGATGAAACATAAATAAATACAAAAGACACCGTATCATAATCCTTCATTTCACAGGAATTCAGTAAACTTCATGAATATCTTCATAAGTGCAACTGGTACCTGGTTGTCTATCTTGATCTCTGTGAGGGTGTCGTTGTCTCGCAATGCATCCACCAAAGCCTGCACCCCCGCCCCGGTGATAAAGTTGGTCTCCAGGTTCAAACTCTGCAACGTCTTGTTCTCTCGTAGCATGTCGCCGAACACCTGAGAGGAGGAAATGAAGCCGTAAGACGTAAACATGGAGTTGGCACGTGTCAGCGAAGCCAAACGAAGCCCGCAGGCCACTCCCTCTCACCACAGCGATCGGGTCGTTACTCCGTGTTGCTGCCAGGCTGAACTTTTTGACGTGCGTGTTTTTTTCCAAGGCTTTAGCGAAGTCCTTCAGCGTGGGGATTGGAATGTTCTGGAATACAAATGACAAAGACACACCGCCATCAGCCCAGGGAAAGACAAGCAGGTTCACCCGCAGCTGCTCTGAAGCTTGTGTTTGTGTTCCTGCGTACCTTGATGTTGTTCAGGTTGACCTCCGTTAGGGAGCTGTCGTTGTTTTTTATCCGCTGCAGAGTCTCTTCCACATTGGTGGGATTGGGGGGCTCGTCAAACACCGGGGTCATCTTCTCCCCTTTGATCACATCTAGGAAAGACAGGCAGAGAAATTGATCCTCATCCGAATCCAGAGTGATTGTACTTCCTCCGCTCATGTCAGAGAGCCTGTCGCTGAGAGGCGAGGTTTAAGGAAACGCTGGTGCCCAATGGGTCCATGGATGTGGACGATTGATGGAGGATTTGGTTAATTTCACCTAAATTGTATACTTTGAAGTCAATTATCTACTAGTTAGCCAACATAGCTACACAGCAACAGAAAAGGCCAGGTTGGTGGCCAGCGGCAGCTCACCACCCAGCGGCCCGGCTCTGGAGCGAAGTCTTATTTACACGGAGCGGACGTATTTAGTCACCAGCACAAAAAAACCCAACAATTGTGATTTTTGGTACTGGTCGAATGAACAGGGGGGAACAGGTGAAGGTTCTATTTCAGTTATATGGTTGACTTGTAGGGTTGTACTTACTGTTGTAACCGTCTTTCGATGCATCGTATGACTGGCTACTGGTGACCAGCGTGTGAACACCGAGGATCGCTGCAAAAAGAAGCAAACCATAGACTCAGCAGCTGTAGTGAGGAGTCGGTGTGAGCGCAGGTGTTATTAAGGGATCAGTGAATAAAAGGTAACCAAATCTAGACGCCTTAGCTGACAGGCTAGTTTGCTCAGTAAGCCCTTTTATCCCCCCGTCAGCCCCGCGAGGCACAGTGAAAGGAGCTTGCGGTGGCGTGTCCCATTAGACCAGGCAAAAGCAGACAACAACATCCTCCTCTGCACAGGAGTCTTCACACAGAGTAATGTTTTGCAGGCCTTTTAAACATGACTTCTTAGCTTTCTCAAAGCGGACCTACCTGCTAGGTCACACAGTTCTGTATCTGTGGCGCTGGATAGGGCTTCCTCTAATTCCGGATCAAGGGTTGTGATTTCTTCCTGGCGTGTTTCTATTGGTTTCTGCTTTGGAACAAACGCTTTACCTACGGAGAAATGAGAAACGAAACATTTTTTGTAGCCGAAGAAGAAATATGGACAGGCAACAAATCACTTGAACGTTAGCACAGGAAGATTTTATGAGACGTTACACAACCTCCAATTCCAATAAAATCACCACCGATTCAGTTCTATGTATTATATTATATATATATATATATATATGTAGTATTATATATACATGCATACGTTCACTGTGCTATACTATCTGTTAGTAAATATTACAAAATATACAAATAAAATGATATATATTACATGTATATCAGGCCAAATTGTAATACTTGTAATGCGTCTGAAGTCAAGTCAGAAGAATATATACTGGGTAATAAGTCCAGGCCTCCTGCTATTTTACACAGCATTTGCCAACCATCAGTCTGACAACTTTGGTATCGCCATAGTAACCAAACAGAGGGAAGAAACAGTGAGAGAATGAAGGAAGTTATGGAACAATGACTGGAGTCTAAACTAAACTGCGCCGCCGGAGCAACACACACTTGCACTCGGCGGAAAGACCAGTCCAATGGGTGCCATTCGCTTCTATGTGGCTGTCTCCTTAAACAAAAACACCCCGAGAACAGCCCCTTTCCCCTCTTCCAAGTCAGTCATGCCAGTCAAATTGTTCAAACTGGTCCAGAGTGGGCGCCTTCGGCACTTCCTGAAAGCCAGTAAACAGTAAAACACACTCATCAGGCAGCATCCTGCTCCAGCCCCTCTGGAGCAACATTCTTCGGCAGAAGCTGATGAGAAGTCTTCTCATCTGATCTCATAAATCATGACATAAATGAGGAGATGACATAGAGGTAACAATGCCGTACAGTTAAGAAAATAGGCACATGTCAAGAACGCAGTGTCTTCATGGAGTACAAAGATTCTTTACGGTGAAGGGAGATTTTCTCATTCATGCAAAAGTTGAATAGAAAAGCAGTTTATCCATATTAGACTATTTGTACGGTAAAACTGAAACTGAGTGCATCCCCGATTGCGCAGAAAAGCTGTTCAGACTACAGCAAGAGAGATGTGTCAGTGGAACCCAAACAATGGGACAAAACTCTCATTGTTGTTTTCTCTTTAAATCAACCGCTCGCTTCCATCTTCTCTTCCACATCAGTTTTTCAAACTCGCGGCTTTGTCAACCGCATAGAAATTATGTAAAAATGAACGTAATGTAACCGGAATGATCCTTTAAACTATTTGTACATCTTGAGCAGTACTTTTTCAGTAACAGATTTGTTGCCTTTGCTGTTACACATGACTCCCTTATGGCAACGACAACCGCATCAACAAACACAACGTTCATCAAACAGCATGGCAAGAACGCCCCGATTAGTGTGTCGAGCAATAAATACTCAACTGACCTCCAAGGAAAAATATTATTCATACATCTTCAACAACTTGAACCGCCTCTCCAGCCAGAACTTCTTAATGTGAATGATGTTCCCAAAACCTCGAAGGAAATCCAGGACAAAGAAGGAATGAACGATGGATTACAGACTAACGGGCCCATTTGACAACAGCCAAGTGGTTAAAAGGCTGCGATGGGATTCATGGAAGCTGTTCTCCCGTGAAATATGTGGGTTTTTGAAAGTGCATGCACGTGTGCTGTGTGCTGTGTGCTGTGTGTGTGTGTGTGTGTGTGTATCAGCAGGGGGCGAGTTTAACAAGAGGAAGAGAATCAGCTTCATAGAACCAACACAGTGATATGAGTTTTCCATTTGGTCATAGGGTAAAAAACATATGCACGCGCCCACATACGCACACGCACGCAGACACTAATTCCTAACAGGCCAGAGGGAGCATTTCAGCTCCAGATTTCCTCTCCAGCGAGGGAGTAACCTTCAGATCTCTCAAGACAATAATTTAGTCAGTAATGTTTCTAATTGCCTTACTTTCTTACTGGCACACTGTTAAACATTTTCCTTTTTCTCTTTTAAAGTAAGTAACAGGGCTGCACAATTAATCAAATTTTAATCGCAATCACGATTTTGTGCTCTGCTACATATAAAATCGAGCGCTTCCTCAACTCAGCCAACCACCAGGAGGAGAACGAGGGGGGAGGAGTCACGCGTGCAGCCTGCAGCCTCAGAGAAGATTCTGCCTGCAGTGGACTCCGGTATCAGTAGAAGAGTAGAGACGGTCAACAGAAGCGACTACACGGGTGTGAAAGGTTAATCAAATGTCAGGACAGAAGGCGAGGAGCTAGTCCCGAGAAAAGGATCACATTGTCTGCAGAAGTTTTCCGGATTTAGGGCAAGAGTTAACCAAGAACCAGATATGCAAAGAGTGCTTTAGAATTGGGTCTTTGCCGCACAGCCATACAAACTAACTTGTTAATCTGCCTGACAAATCTTGGAATGTAGCACAACATGGAAGTGAAAGCAGCGTTCTGTTGATTTAATGTTGGATAAAACCTGTTTCATTTATACTTTACTTCTACAAGGAGCAGTCTGATCAGGAATCAGGAAACATTTATTGCCAAGATATGTCAAACATACAAGGAATTTGTCTTGGCGGTTGGTGCGTGACAGTAGACAGTGTAACAATAGACAACAAGACAGCAGTGCACAAGTAATAAAATAGAATAAAATGAAATGCTAATGCAATGGGTTAGTAGAATAAGGCTATGGGTTAGTATGAAATGCAATGTTGCTTACTTAGACAGAAGGGAGCATAACAATGGAAGCGGAAGCAGTGTTCTTGTTCATTTTAACAAGAGTAATTTAGTAAGTAAACTATGTGATCACAAGTGCGTCTTACAACCTGTTTGAGCACAACTGCTTTCGTAGGAGAAGATCAGGCTATTTTGGTTGCAGCAACATCGACGGCAGCCGGATAAGCAGTGGGTTTATTTCCTCTTTTTTTGTTGTTGAGAAATCTACTAACGAGTTGTGACTGAAGACAGTTTCATTCCCCTCCGTGACATCGCAGATTGTCCTTTCACTACTCACTAAAAAGGGCAGCGTGTATGCGTACCACATACAACCACACATTCAACTGCTGTTATAGAAAAGATGATGTAATTTGCATTAGAACTTCATTTTTGTAGTTCCGATCATTAGATAAAGTTCCATGCTGGACACTGTGGACTTGTGCACGCACCCCCAGCTTTGTCCGAGCAAAACCTCAGCCCGAGCGCAAAAAAACAACAATCTGAACTGGGCTGGACTAACACCAATAAACAGATGGACTCATTCCTTTGACACTCTACCCCCAGTCCCCTGGTACAAACACACCTCCCCCACACGGCTGACTGTTGCATAAGAGCACACATGCATTAATAATACCTGCATAAGACAGCTGAGCAGTAATAACTGTAGACACACACCTTTTCTCTCCCCTGTGAAGGGCAGTATATCCTCTCTGTCCTTGTACTCCATGGCTTCCTTCTCCAGGTACTTCAGAAGGCTTTCCCGGTTAAATGACCCTGTAGCTTGCTTGCCCGTCTGGTCCTTCTGACGTAAGCCGGCTGGGAGAAGAGCGTTCTGAGGAGACGAAGAGACACATTAGACCAGTCAATTAATGAGGTGTAAACTATAAATGTGGATAAGGTGTGTATGGGGTGGAGGTTGAGCTGTTAAAATGGTTGTATTCTTCCTCGCCTTCTATATGAACAAAAATATCTCTTCACCCAATTACTTCAAAGTTTCTATGCAACAATAAATACATGCCGATCAGGAACCATGTCATTATCTATTTGAAGGTACATGTACTATGACATCATCATAGCTAAATGTCTTTAAACAGGCAGCATTTTTCCTAATTACGTAGTTGGAGACCTGCAAATGTCGTTTGCTTCAATGACAGATGTAGGAGTTTGGAAGTAACGTGGGAAAAGGACATGAGTTATGAGTTCTTTGAAACAGGAAGTAAATATACGATGAACTTGTTGAACTTGATGCATGTGAACCAGAACAACAAAGCTTCAAACTCCTCCAACCATCACTGAAATGCCACTAATTGTGGACCATTTCTTGTAAGTGAGCAAACAACGAGTGTTTGTTCACACCTTTTTCACACAAAAAGGTGTGAACATTCTGCAACACTCGTCTAGCCAGCGTGTGTTTGATCTAATCTAAATGCCTTATTAAACTCCTTCTGTTAAATTACATGAGACTCAAAAATGCTTCATTCCCCCCTTGCTGACCATTTCCTGTGGGCCCCCAGTGAGAGGATTTATCGCACTTGGTTTAGATGGAACTTAAATAAAACGCCCAAGCGCCAGGGAGGGATGTCATTATACTCTCTCCCGAGCTCGGCTCTAAAATAAACACACAAACACTTGGCAGCCTGAGGCCACTGCTGCTGCTGCTCAGACTCCCACTTTAAACTATGTTCCCAGCCGCGGAGGCTGGTGGACCAGGACGTGTTGTTGGTAGGTGTAAAGGAAAAATCCCCCCTTGATGTTCAACGCATCCCAGGAAATAAATGAATTATTATGTGGTATAATATATATTTTTGTGTAAAAAACTGGAGCATGTGGTTGATTGTGGATTGTAGTTCTGGCCTAAATGAATTATGGTTGCAAAGATTTTATTTAAGTGGAAAAAATACTTTTACTAGCATTACTATTTAATACTCTTAAATCGGTCCCAGCCAAACTCCCTCCCTCACGGAGTCCTGACCTCAGGGTCCATCTCTTCCAGTGCCGTCTCCAGCTGCTTGAGCTCCTCCGCCGACAACTTGTTGAGGATTTCATCTTCGTCGAGGTCCTTGTACTTCTCCAGGTCCTTCTTGAATGACAACGCCATGGTGCCAGCTATGACTTGCTAAGCAACACTGAACAGCAGATCACAGCCGCAATGTTCCCTCTCAAGCTCACCGCTCCGGACCGGGAAGAGGCTTCCTGAGGAACAACACACACACAAGTACAACATTCACGATGATGGGGAACAGATGCATTTTAATTGACCTGCCTAAACCAATGTAATGTCAATATGTCTAAAATGAACTATATATTGTTTATGTTGTTATCTATGTGAAACAATAGTTGAGCCTAGCTGGGTTTGCTTTGTAATGATGCAACACCCATTGACACACACACACACACACACAGCTGGAGTAAATAGAGAACTTTCCCAGGCTCATACAAATCCTTTGACCATACCCACGCGGACCAACTCATTTGTTAACCCTGACTTTTGTGCTACTTTATCAAACACTTAACTTAAAAAATGTAAACAGCTCATTCTCCTTGTGATGAAAATGCACATTAGCATTTTCCTTCTATTGACTAAGAGCCAGAAAATAGAGGGAAATTGTTGCGGTGGCTAGAAAATACTGGAGTAAGTAGATTCACCACTCCGATAAGTGAATGAGTGAGTGTGTGCCCTGTCAAACAAAACCAAGAGCCTATGGTTCCCTCTCCCACGCCACGAATGACCACTACATGACCTCACGACTTCCAGATTCCCTGCAGGACTCTGCAGATGGCCTTTGTCCTAATCACTCACACACGCTGAAACTGTAAACACACTTAAACTTACTTGTGCTCTACTTTCCCAAATGGTTTGCTCGAGCTATTAAAAAAAAAGTTAAACAAACTTTTCTTTAAATAAAAGGATTAGTCACTGGCAGGAATATTACACCGGTGTCACTAATTCATGTCGATTGTGAAATACAGCAACATCTCAAAACTCATTACAGCAGAGAGAAGAAAAAAAATTGTACAACTCTGGTTGCACCGAGGATTCTTTAAACTTTAGTGCCATTTCCCCGGAGCTGCCTCGGTGATTTCTCCACTTCAGAGGAATTCCCTCAGAGTCTGACACTCTCTGTGTCTCTCCCACTGCTCAGTTCTCCACAATCCATGTTCTGTCCTGGACTAACTCTTTCCCTCACCTCCTCCATTACACCCACTATGGCTACTCACATTTATTCCTGAATATTATTAGAGTCACAACAGGGACATTTGCGAGCCCGAGAGCCAGGAGACGAAGCAGGGCTCAAATGTCAGCACCGACGACTTTAATAAAAGCATATGAATGTAATTGGCTATAGAAATAACAGCATCCTAATGCTCCGCTATGCATGGTTAAATCCGGACCTGTAAAACTGAGTGAGTACAGTTATAACGGCTCTTGCATGGCTACTCCGGGATGGTTTCACACTTAGAGGAGCGTGATGAGCCCTTCAAACTGCAACGAAGCTAAGCTGAAGTCGTAGTAATATAAATGGAAATTAAGATATGGCCCGCATAAAAACAATGCCAGGCTGCAGCAGGATTTCAATCGCATGACGTCTGGTTGCAGCAGGCCTTTGGCTCGGTGCTTTTAGAAAGAGGGAGTTTTGGTCGTCTTTCATAATAAACACGGAGACGTCCAGAGGCAGGAAAAACACATGGGAACCTTTACTGTGATTATGTGAAAATGAAGACTTTGATGTATTCTGCCAAAAAGCCCTCACATCGAGAGGCCGACGCCTGCCATTTACATGCACACCAGTCAAATACTTACTGAACACAGCACGTATGAAAAGATTTGTGTTGCATTATAAGGAGTATTATTATATTATTATATATATTATATATACAGCGTAAAATACATAAGCGTTAGGTAGGTCGGGCACACACGCACACACACACACTTAATGCTCTTATGACAAGATCAGCTCAGAATAACACCATTTACCATGTCACCCTTCTTCTTATTTATTTTCTCAAAAACACATTTAAAACAACAGCCACTGTTTACAGTGAGGTCCGGTATGTTTGGGTATGCGGACAGGAGAGTAGTGGAGCCTGAAGACACGGGTAATGACGGCAATGGGTGGGCTCAGGCAGAAGTAGAGACACTGAGAGGATCCATTAGTCCAATCTGATTGATTCCTTTCTCCCTCTCCTCGCTTCTAATCCTTCAAGACAACAACAGATGGCTGGGAGCCAATAATACACCTTACACTCCCTCACAATCACTAGTACATAATCATATAACGCAGGACTGCTCAAAGGACGAAGCCACAGATCTCATGATCCAAGATCACATAACTGACTTGATGTTTAGTGGTATATAGATATAAGTGATGAAAACCTGGTGGGTTTAAACAAGGCCAAAAGATGTATCGTCCCATTAAAATCCCTAAAAATTTAAAAAATACTATGTATGCATAAATCCACTTTATGTGTGAAGGAAATAACAACGACCCTTCAATTTGATAATTGATCGTGTGCATAATCTTTATGTAGTATACTTGTAGTTGCTTTGTGAGTAGAGCGAACAATAACTGGTAGAACAACAATGTTCCTCCTGGTTTCTTTCACGGGAAAAAAAATACTGACCACATTCTGTAAGAGATATTATAGGAGAGATAAGTCAAATGTAGAGCATCTGTTTCTAATCCCGTTCATCCCCCTCAGCACCACAACACAAACTGGCATGCTTTCAAGTGAAATGCCTGCTCATGATAACGCTGAAGCTCAACTGTTAAATTCCGTATCCAGGTCAATATTTTAGATCCAAGGGGGTTGATCCTGGAGGAAAAGTAACTTGCAGCTCAGAGCCGAACACAGGAAGCAGTGACTGGTTATTACATTATTAAAAGAGAACTGCCCAATAAAAGCAGAAAGACTATAGTTAGAATGACCCAGCTCGGCAACTCATGGGACGAGAGTGTGCATGTCCTCCCACATTCTCTCTACCGGCTTATTCTCTGCCCTTTTGTCCCTCCAAACTGTAGTTACTCAGTTTTCCTTTTTATCTTACGCCTCCCGAGGTGCCTGGGAGTGTCGCAAATGATAGAAAACAGATGGAAGCAACGGAGGGTCTGATCCGTCTGTCCCTCGGGTATGTTCAGTGCATTATATTAACAAGTACAAATAATACGAAGATATGAGAGTCAGGACGACAAAAACGTTTTGTGTATGGCCGTACAATTATTGTGCAGATTTGGCAAGGGCCGTACAGGAAGTGGTGTGTTTCTCAAACAAACGCACATGATGTCTTTCCTCCCCCGTTTTCCCCACACACCTTTCAGGCACGCTGATTAAAATAGGATTTCAGATCACGTCCTGCCTTTCAACTTGCGGGGGCTGGAGTATGAATGACGCAGGAACGTGTTGTCATTGCCACGCCTTCAAAATAAATAAAAAGAGACTAATGACAGTGGCTATTTCCTGCTGTGGCTGCATGACACCAAGGGAAACCAGAAGCCCACAGCCAAGTTTCACTGCGGATCCAACAAATCCTATCTTGTTTATCTGCAATACGCCACTGCAGAGGCCGGTACGCTCAGCGGTATCACCCAAAAATGCCATGACAGCAGCTGCCACCATGACTGTCCACTCTGTTACCTGCCGCACACCTTCAGGACACACAGCTGCCTTCAGGCTTTGAGGGTAGACCCCCACTTCCGTCCCTAAGCAGACTTGGACCACACCCTTTATTCACCATTCAGCCCTGCAAGTGAAACTGGCTTAGGGAAAGCAAGCAAACACACACACACACACACACACACACACACACACACACACACACTTCTGTGGCCTGAGTGAAACAGGTACAATGACCTTGCACCTATCAAACAAGTAGAGCCTTTCTTTAGCTCAACGCTTCACGCTCGTGTGAGTCATCGCACTGAAGGTATGTCCTTAAACACACTGAAGCTCTTGTCTTAGTCAGACAGACAATCTCGGTGTTGTTCATTACGTGTGTCTAATGTAACAATAAATACACACGGTTAAAATATAAACTATGAAGCGAACAGATATCAGAATTACTTGCGGGTGCTCAATATTGCCATAAAATGACATATTCTAAAACTTAACACGGTAATGTTCCTTTGTGGTAATTTAGCTTCCGCTAGCATGAGTCGTCCCCATCTGGGAATAGCGGGCTGCAGACCGACGTTCACGAACTCCATCCTGACGTGTTTATGATTATTACACTGACAGTAAGCGTTGGTGATGTTGGTTATTAGTAAAAGATTAGGCACCTCGCATGGTATGACAAAAACAGCCAAACCAAGTGCTTCATGCGATACTCACTTTGGTAACTTAGCTAGCGTTACATTTGTCTGATGCAGCAACACAACGCGACAACATGTAACATTAGTGTTAACAGTTAACGTTAGCGGCTAACGGCTAACGCTAACAGTTGACTCAAGTTGCGAGCCGTTTAACGTTCCCACGCTGTTCAACACTGCGGCTACTACGTTTCCTTAGATCTCACAGTCCTAACTAACGTTATCTATTTCCTTACCTGCTAATTGGACCTAAATAAGGAGTCTCCAAATAACGCCTGTCTTTCCAGTGAATGCGATGTCTTCAGAGCTTGATGTCTCACTCAGCCCAAGGGCGGTAACACAGGAAGAGCGAGCGAGCGCATTCTCTGAGTGACGTGGGATTGAACCAATAGGGAGAGTGTCTGCCATAGATGAGCTAATGGTGTATATTGGCCCGCCTTTAATCTAGAAGAACCAATAATATGATAGATTGGAAAATAAAACTAAAATAACCAGTTTAACTACAATACAGTTTCACTGTCTTAGACAAATCCATGTGTGTAGTAAAAGCCCCTGAAAACGCTCATAGCACATTTTTTCAAACTACTCACAATTGCACTATTGTGATCTGAGAGATCTGAGATGGGTTCTACCTGAATTATGGATACTTTTGATTCAATGATAAGTACAGTCCAGACACGTGATTTGTATAAAGTGCCATAAAGTTTATAGGTCATTCCAATCCGCACTACATAGGACACCATCTATAGACTACACACACATACACATTTCAACAGATCAATAATTTCTTTTCAGGATGGAAAAAGTTCCGGTACATGTTATACATATCGAGTAGGCAGACATAAAAGGAGATAAAACTAAAATAGCAAAAATAAGGATACATAATACATAAGAAATATAATTTTATTAATTAAGTAAATACTGTGATACAAGTATTTTGGGCTTATGACTCATGTGTTGGGAGTGAAAAGCAACTTTTAGGTGCCGGCAAAAAAACTACAGACTACAAATTATTGCAGGGACCTTGAAAGACAGACTACATGCAGTACAGACATACAAACATGTGGACCTTAATTCTTTCTATCACGCTAGAGCTGCCTGTCTCTCCTTCTCTAACACAAATACCCAGAATACTCACCCAAATCCTTACCTAGCCGTGATAGTAAAATTCAAGGTGAGCTCTTTCTATCTGCACTACATTCTGTTGCACAATAGCGGAGATAGAATTTCATGTACCTTCTGAGTTCACTCAAAGTGTGGACTGTAACAAGATGCCTTGTAGGTAACACAGAAACTCTGGGAGAAGATGTTGCTGAAATCAGATGAACGAAAATATCCTACTCGGCTAAACGGGAATGTACTGAGAGGGAGAGTTCTTCAGTGCCCTTTTAAACCTGGGGAAATGTTCATCTCTGTGAATACATATTTGCTAAAGTTAAGGACAGAGTTTATTGCCAGATGATGGAGCACCTGGCAGTGAGCATGATTTCTGTAGTGTCCGAAATTATCTTTTGATAGACAATGTTCAACCTCATTCAACCTTCCTCAGCCATTATTAAGACTCAATCTATTAATTAATTATCTAACTAATTATTATCTACTTTTTGAAATGCGGAAAGTATACATGCATATTACATGTAATAATGCATGTTCCACTTCATTTATTCGTTGTGGAGGTGGCAGGTGATTAAATGACACCATCTGGTGGTTGATCATTTGAAGTACTTGACACAGATGCAACACCAGAGTGATTCCAGTAGGGGTCAGAACATGACTGACTGATGCGTCATTGGGGTCAAATTGGACTTAAGATGTTGATTATGATTTATATAACAGGTTCTGACCAGTTGACCTCTTTCCAACTCATCATCATCTCGACAATACATTGTATTGCATTGCATCCATTGGCAGCACTTTTAAACCACCTGTGAACATTTGGAAGAAAATTGCTTCCATCTGATTCACTCGATGAACCTACTTTATTTTCCTCCAACAACTTTGGACCAAAGTAACTTGTGACCCGACAACACCATGAAAACAGAGACTAGTCCTAGAGGCTTACTCAGGTGTGGCTTATCGCGTCCACAGTGATGTGGCACTGATAGCAAAAGGGATATTGCACTGATTGCTGCAGTGCCGGTGCAGTTGGATCAGGGGGCGGCTTGACAGATTGTCTTCATGGTTACGTTGAGAAACTTCCTCTTGTAATATTACCGTTGCTTCAGTCGTTTGTTTTTCCCTCTGAGCGCAAAGAGAGTGTTGATTGTTTCTAGGAGAGTGATCCGATTACTGTCTGCCAGGAAAATCACCTGTTGTTTTTGAGTAAATCTTACATGAGCGCAGAAATAGATTTTACTCATAAATATTGGATCCTTTTTGTTTTTTGGTCCCTGTATTTTCACAAAAACACTTCTCATCAAAGAAAAGTACAACATGAATAATGAGCTGATTTGCTGTTCAATCTGAAAAGTGGCATCTCACATGGAGAACAGCGGGCATCATGAATACATTGAGCTCCCTCCTCTGGGTCTCTCTTTGTACTCTTACATAAGCCTAGTGACCTGATTTCCATTAGAAAATGCCAGACAGCGAGATCGTCTTTATCCAGGAGGGACTAATTAAATAAATTAATCATTTAGAAATCATGAATCCACATGTGGCTTCCCAGTATTTGTGAGTCAGCGAGTTCGATTTTACTGAGATACATCCTGTGCCTCCCAAAGTAGCATCTGCAGTCTTTGTCCCCTCATTACATCACTAATAGTAATATCTTCACAGACATTAAAATAACTTGGTTATAACAATTGAACAATCATTGCTTTTCCTTTCCAGCTGCTAGGGGGAAGTAATCCCAAGGCTCCCACTTTCTAACACAGTGATTGGAAAAAGGAGAAAACAACTCGGGGGATCTGATTAATTATTTACTAAAGTGAGAGTTAGAGACAACAGGGACGGGCAGTGAAAATCTAAGCAGCTAACATCCAGTAATGAATACTAAAGTGTTTTTCGTGTTCGCATATCAGCTGTCATATGAATTGGTTATTGAATTAAGGTTGCTCTTGTTCATTTATGGACTTTCATTTGCCATCTAATGATCAGGCACAGGTTGATATCCTGATAAAAACACACCTAAATTCTCATCTATGTTTATCTATGGAAAATTACTTTAAACATCTTGAAACACACATATAAAGATAAATATGGACTTTAATGATTCCCTTCAAACTAAAAATAAAGATGAATAAATTAAATATGATATCAATGAATACAGAGGGCGGCACGGTGGCGTGGTGGTTAGCACTGTTGCCTCACAGCAAGAAGGTCCTGGGTTCGATTCCGCCCAGTGGCCTTTCTGTGTGGAGTCTGCATGTTCTCCCCGTGTCTGCGTGGGTTCTCTCCGGGTTCTCCGGCTTCCTCCCACAGTCCAAAGACATGCTTTGGGGATCAGGTTAATTGGGGACTTTAAATTGCCTGTAGTTGTGTGAGTGCGAGTGTGAATGGTTGTGTGTCTCTGTGTTGCCCTGCGATTGGCTGGCGACCAATCCAGGATGTACCCTGTCTATCGCCCGAAGTTGGCTGGGATGGACTCCAGCCCCCCCCGCGACCCTGTGTGCAGGATAAGCGGTCTGACAATGGATGGATGGATGGATGAATACAGGAAAATTATGTTTCATGTAAGTGTTTATTTGGAAGACTTTTTGCACACTATTGTGCCAGCTTGGGAAAATCCCATTGCAATCATTTTAAAGGTTCTTCTGTGGTCTACTCCTCTATTTTTGTGCACGGTTGGTCATGGGACTATACACCAGGTTCACAGAGACCTGCTGAATGTTCCAACCCAATGTGAAAGCATCTCTCAATTCCTACTTAATTACTCTTCTCAGTCTCTTCTTGAAAGATGTTAAAAGATACCCATCTAAGGAGGGACTATTTTGCTGCTGTTTTACAAAGATAATGCTATTAACACAGAGTATAGCTTTCTGATGGAGGGGATAACCAGCATACCCCTTATGTCTATCTATCTATCTATCTATCTATCTATCTATATATGCATTGATATATGTAAGCACCTATCATTCTATTTGTTCTTTTATCTATCTATTGCCTTTCAACAAACATGTTTAATCATCATATTGGCCGATGATATAATGCAATTATTTTCTCAGAAAATTGACCTTAATCATAAGGAATTATTTTGAAGTGTAACCGGAAGTTGTTAATTGTTCTTCCGCCCTGACGTCCACGACGTCTTTACGTCAACGTACGGATCCATGACAAAAGCTTCCCGTGAGGCGGTGGTAGCGGTTCCCCAAACATGTCTGTTATTCCCCGGGTTGACACGCCGAGTATGACCGAGGATGGGAATCTCCCCGCCGCCTGAACCAGCGATTTATCCCCCGACCACGGAGCTTTAAACCGCGCGGAGGCCTCCGGGCTCCTCGTCTGACGTTACCCGAGAGAAGATGGCGGACTTCTCGCCCGTCCTGCCGATGCGGGATGGAGGAGGACGTTTCGCGCAGCCCATCTTCCCTCGGTCCAGGTCCGGTTCCGAGTCGGAGAGCGAGCTGTCGCAGAGCCTGGCCCGGACCAAGATCCGCTCGTACGGAAGCACCGCCAGCGTCACGGCCTCCCTGGGGGAGAAGTACATAGAGCATCGGGTTACCGACAGCGACACGCTGCAGGGCATCGCTCTCAAGTACGGCGTCACGGTAAGGTTTCCACGCCATGTTCGCCTGTGTTTCACCTTGACAAGAATACGGAAAGAGTGCTGAGTGCACGCCCGATAAATGACGCCTGGATCCGTCGGTTCAATGCACACACTCTGTTATTGGAGCTTAAAAATGAATAGATCCAACACACACGTACATCTCGGTGCCCTCGTGGGTTCAGGAGTTCCCTCATCGATCTACTGTAGCCAGCGCTTTATTGAGAGTGCCCAATACATACAACAGGACATTTTAACCATGTGGACAGATGGACAGCAAAAGCTTCATCAAGTTTTCTTTCCCGTCGTTGTTAACGTTGAATGTGTGTAACCAAACTAAACAACATGCTGCTGAGATGTTTGCTGCCTCGTTGGATCAGAGTCCAAAGAGGTCTTCCCCTGTAGACCGTAAACAAAGGACACTTTGAGCTGCAATGTGCACGGCGTTCCAAGCAGACTTGGAGGAGTGGTGCTGTTGTAACCGTGCCGTCTGTTTGCTGTCGCCCTGATGTGCCAGATGGAGCAGATCAAGAGAGCCAACAAGCTGTTCAGCAACGACTGCATCTTTCTGAAGAACAGCCTCAACATCCCCGTGGCGTCGGAGAAGCGCTACATATTTAACGGACTGTCTCTGGAGTCCCCCGACGGGGACGCGGCGTGCCAGGGAGCCGACCCGCCCTGCGTGGTGCTGCGTGACATCGAGGGGCCCTCGCCGGCCCCGTCCCCGCCCCCCGAGGACCCCAGACCCCCCCAGCCAGAGGAGCTGTCGGCCAAAGACTTCTTACACAGACTGGACTTGCAAATCAAACAATCGAAGCAAGCGGCACGCAGACTGAAGGATGAGCAAGTAAGGTGAGGTGTTGCAAACCCCCATCCACCCCTCCCCCTCCCCCATCCTGTGTGGTTAACTTACTGGCGCTGTCGGCCCGGCCCGGGAACGCTCGTTTCCTGCGTCTCTCTCGGGCGGTTAAAGATCAAGGTTAATTTTGTTCCCAGCTTTACATTGAAGGGCCTGTAAGAAACGCTGTGTGGGGAGTTGACAGAAATCCCGCTCGTGCAAGAAGAGAAATGGGAAAGCGCAAAGAAGGATCGAAGGGGGGAATCCGGGGTTTTGCTGACCTGCTGAACAATTGAGATGCCAAGTTCTGCAACAATGAGATGTTTGGATGGATGCCCGTGTAGACACACCGTTGTTGGCACTATCAGTTTAGTCAGTACTGAGTCACTCCTCTGCAGACGTGGAGGGGAAATAGTTTTTTTGGCCCCACATCAGGTTCTCTAAAAGTGTTTTGCTCGTACTGCAGTGGATCCTGCAACACACTTTATATCGCTATTCTATTGCCATTTATTTGGTTATTTAAAAGCGACCATGTACAGTTTGAACATAAATGTCACCGTTTGATGCACTGTACCAGATTGTAGCTTCAAGCTAGTTTGCATCTGTAACACAGTAAAAGGAAATAACAAAAAGCATAATACAAAGATATACCATATAGCAAGACCAATAGCACATCAGCAATGTAATGTTTGTCAAATCAAATCAGTCTGAGACCACGAAACACAGCTCTAACCAATTTCTGATTTCCCCTGAAAGAATCGGGAGGGTCTCACCCAGTAACATCGTTATAGTTCGCCCACACAACAATAGCAGAGGATGTCAACGTTTCCCTCTATCCCGTCCATTCTGATTTTGGTGTTCTACTATGATGTAAGATGGAGCAGTAACTGCTAGGAGCCAGAAGCTATTTACAGAGGGATTAGTCAGTTATTACGTGGTCCATTTTACTTTCTCTGCTCCGTGTTTACCCACCAGTTCTCCTGTGAGCGTTTACCTGGTTTCAGCCGAGCTTTGTGTTGAGCCTCGTCTCCACATGGATCTGCTGTGTGGCCTCGTTTCCGGAGTAAACGATGTCCGTTCGGGTTCCTCCCTCCAGTGGAACAAACCACAAACTATGATTTGAGTCTATGGATTTACATTATGAAGATTTATTATTTTAAGAGTATTGACACCTAAAATTAGATGAGTCAGAACAACTTATAGTAAAGTGTGGCTTATAATGTTATGTTGTTCTCTGTATATACACCTGTATGCATATCCCCAGAATAGCTGCAGTATAATAAATGACAGACAGATCCTTTTTAAACGGCTGAGCTCTTTTACAAAAAAATCTATATGTCCAATGAAACATTATTTTGCCATCCTACCTTATCTCCTATCTTTCCTATTGATTTTGATCATTCTATACTTCCTCCCCTAATAACTTGAATTTAATGGCACCCTCTCAGTTAAGGAGTGTTGAGGTATAAAAAAAGAGATTTGAAGATTGAGGTCAAGAAATGAATGCATTGTAATGTGAGTCCAGATGAACAATTAGCCCAGACGCAGAACAATACAGCTGTTTTGTTAACCTCATCCATTATGAAAACCCAGTGTGCTCCCCCCGTCTCTCTGGCACAGGTCAGCAGAGAAAAAAGAAAATGTGAGATGTAAAAGGACTTTCCACTGTGAGAAACGTGCCAAAAAATGTCTCATTTTTCTCCTTCGCAGGAACGACGAGGACTACACGGCCCCCACAACATCATATCAGGAGATATGAGGGACCCGTACTGCAACCACATCGCTTTTGTTTTACTTTTCCCTTTACTGCTTTGCTTTTACCAAACCATGTTTAAGAAAAGTGTCCTGTTTGCCTTTTATTTATTGGTATGCAACTGTTGCGATATGCGTGATGGTTCTTGTTGTGTACAGCTCGGAGGAGCGCCCATGCACTCATCATGTGCTTCTGAAGCTACTGTAAGGAACACACCTGCTGCTCACACACACACACACACACACACACACAGCGCTAAGCAAGTCCAGAGGGATTAGCTTGTTCAAGTTGCTAACCGCTTCTGATGTGCTAAATCCCCTCCTATAATAGTATCACTGGAAAGTATATTCAGGCCTTCCTCATCAATGTTTACCCCGTACGAGCTCACCCCGAACAGGAAGCGGATGGACTCGAGCCTTTGAACACGTTCAGTTTTGCCTCATTCAAGCTTTGTTTTTTGGGGCGGGAGGAAACCGAAGGGACTGCTCTATTTTTTTTTTTTTGAGGTGTGAATGCAATTATTTATGTGTGGAGAACTGGCTGTTCCAGCAGTTCATAATGTACCTTTTTAAAGTTCTGTTGGTTTTATTTAGAATAAATGTGTTATCAAACCAAACATGATGCTCTTGTGTGTTTGAAAATGCAGGTTTGTGTTGGGACATGGATGTCGCTTACTGATGAACGGGCAAAGTTTTAATTGCTTTTATATCAGGAAAAAAATCACATATTTACATTGAAAAATATTTATCTTGAGTCTCTACAGAGATGGAAATGTTGAACTCGCAGACATGCAGATTACATTGATGGTACAACGGGCCCCTCTAGTGTAATCCAGAAGGATTACAGCAGAACATAACTGTAGTACGTCGCTCATCACTTAACATGATGCACAACAAACATTTTTGGTAGAATAAAAAGCAAGATTACATAGGGACCTTACACGTACACTGGAAAAGGTAAATAAAATAGGCTAAAACAGGTTTTACACTGAATGAGTACACTTTGATATATTTGCATTCTGTTGCAAAAATTATATTAAATGGTTGACAGCTTTGACATCCTACTCTCATAACAATAATTTCCCACAGGAGTCTGGTTAGATGCCAGCGTTTAGTTGTGTGAAATGGTTACTCTGCGATCTTGGCGCGCAAATACAATCTGTTAGGTAGCTGTGAAGAATCAGTACTGTTATGTTGATAGTTTATTAAATTCTTTCTCCTGATACATTTCGGGAAGGTTAACAAGTTCCACGGAGCAGGTAGTTTTGAATACACAGTAAATACGTTACCATGCCATGGGAAATTACTGTAGTCAGAGTGTTTGAGATGTTAATCTGAGATTCAGTCCTGTGTTGTAGGCCGGAGGGAGGATGGGCGATGGGGGGGTTACAGGCTGCTGTAGATCCTCTTGATGGTTTCACCCTCGTCCTTGGCCATGATGCCCTTCTGAATGTAGGCGTCAACCTGCTGGTCCATGAAGTCCTTCAGCTTGGACAGGTCATAATCTGGACACAGAAGCAGGAGTAAAGGATGGGTTGATCATCTGAGATTCAAAGAGGAAGATCACAAAGCCAGGAAAGGCTGGCAGGAAAGATCAGACATTAACGTCTTAAGACCGCACAACCAAACAAGCCATAATCTGGTACGGTGCTTCATTATCAAGGGGGATTAAGGTCAGAGTAAGCAAATTTGTCTGGCGTTGAGAAGACGGCGCACACAACAAGTAGGTCGGAAGTACCCGCGTGGACTGTGTACGTCCAACGATGAAATCATTTGTTGTTTTCCTTTCAAATTCAATGTGCTCAAACCAACTCGCTCAAATACTGAAAGAGACGTAGCTTCTCTTTGACGCACCATTTGCAATCACCTGCTCTGGATAGGTCGTCGCCATTGCACCATAAGGCCGCAGCAGGGTGGGGCTATATTTAGAGAAGAACCCCACCTACCTCTGTATGATGCATCACGGTAACAAACGAGTCTCAGAGAGCAGGCAAACCGCTGCTGCCCCACTTCTATCTGCTCTAACTGATGAGCAGAAGGTAAGAGGACGGACAGCCATGGAGTCACACAACATCCTCTTAAGGACATTCCTAACAGCAGCAGTGTCTCGCGGTGGCTCGAGTCATAGTCGCCTTCCCGATGACAAACTTGACGCGTGCGAGAGGATTAACTGTGAATGTGATTATACGGGTGCCGCTTCTCTCCATCTTGGCTGCAGGGAGCCGAGAGCCGAAGCCAGGCTGTTGACTCCGTGTCCGTCTGCTCCTCTGGCTAATCTGTGTGGTGTGTGGGCGAAAAACACACACACACACACACACGATACTGATACTAGTGCGTGCTTCTGCGATAAAGTGTGCACAGTAAATGGCCCGTCGCCCACTCTGTTACTATGACACTGCTATTTGGTTGAAGCGGCTTTTGTTGTCCTCCAGCTGTCCTTTCTGCGTAGAGAGGGAGCGAGAGAATAAGGATGAGGTTCAACGCGGTGAAGCATTTTGGCTGCTGAGTGCCACCACGGAAAAACACGTAGGGGGTCTTGGGGTCCCCAGTTTCACTCCGTTTGTGTGTGTGTGTGTTCTGTGAGAGCTTGTCTGCTATGTGTCCGTCTCCTCTTCCCAGATCACTGAGGGGCAGGCGGGGACGCCGCTGTTGTCCCCGACAACCACGGCACGCAGCAGAATGCTAATGAGGTGTCCTATATAGAGCCCGGCTGGAGATGAGCACTGAACAAAACTTCCCTGCTGCTCTGCTCCGGACTCTGGCTCTATAACCTTTTTTTCCCTTCTTCTTCTGTGTGAGATGCACACAAGAATCTAGGTCAAACTTTGTTAGCATCTCTGGCTTCGGATTGTTTTTCTGGCTCACCAGTGGCTGAGTTACTTATTGATCGACTCAGATTTGGGCAGAGCACTGATTGTAGAAGAACAACTGAGGGAGAAATTAGTTTTTATTTGTCAGAAATGTCCTGAGATAATCAACAGCGTAATAATAAGTATTTCACACTTGATTTACAGAATCGAGAGCCAAACAGCAGACGAATGCACAGTTTTCACAGATCTGCAGGCCGGTAGTTTTCTGGGTCAGATGCCGCGCCTCTGTGCATGCTAACAGTTACAGGACTGGGGGGGAGGCACACCTCCCAACACTATAAATGGACATGGGCATTGATTACAAAGAGGTGGTGGTCTCTTTGGGGGTTGTTCATCATATTGCTAACCTTGAACCACGTTCATAATCTACACCTACATCTCATTTCCACACACAAACATTGAGGAACAGAAAAAAAGGGGAGAAAATGAATAGATGTTTATCTCTGAAAAATGAAGATGCATCGCATGTAATTAGGACGGACTCATCAACAAATATCCATATTCATGGCATCTGGAGTGAGGCGTCATTCCTGGTTTCCCAGTCTCATTTTACTTGCAAATTTTTGGAAAACAAAAGAGACTTCAAATTATCTGTACTTCAATGCGTCGCCTCGGACCTTTTTGTGACACAGAACAGTTTCGGGGGGGGACGAGTGTTTGCCAATCAGGAGGTTTTCTGGGTTTAATGCAGAAACTCAGCAAAGATCGGAGTGTGTGTCTCACCTTCTTTGCCCTCGTCTTTGTTGTGTTTCTTTAACCACTCGATGTTCTTCCTGATGGCCTCCAGGTAAGTCTCTGACTTGCCAGGGTGATCTGGTGGCAGACAGAGAAAAATGACGAACATGAGACGTGAAGATCTGCTCTGTCTGGTAAATAGTAAATAAGTGGCTTCCACTTCTGCAACACATTCACTCAGAAGAGGAGGAAGACAGTTTTGTCCTTGTCCATTTTCATCACGCACTTTAACGTTCACATGTCTCTAGCAATTGGAGCACATAGACAGCCAGGATTTTACTTTCATGTTAAACTAGCAGTATAGTAAGACAAATTGTTCATGACAAAGGTCCAAAAAAGACTCAAAGATTTAGATGCATATATAGCACCATCAGACTAATGCTTCAGATTTTGGTTTTATCATAAAGACTAATTTTTCCATCACATTATGCAAACTCAATCCAGCACAGACACCACAGCGTTCACATTGCGCAGGAATGATGTAATTTGCTGCTGAAACAAATGTCCTGATGCTAATCCTGCTCTAATTTACGTTTTTGATTTTCTTCTTAAGCACGTTGCATGTGTGTGTGTGTGTGTGTGTCTGTGAGAGTGTGTGTGTGTGTGTGGGGATTAGACTGATGAGTATGCGCAGTACGGTGGACAGGGACAGATAATAATGGCAGCTGTGACAAGCTTTCGTGTGAATGTTATTGGACTGGCCTAGTTCAGGGACTTAACTATGATTGGCCTGGACTACACAGTGCAGCGTACTTCCTGTCAGCCCTGCTGGGTCAAAACAAAAGCTCTGCAATGCTCTCGGGCCGTTACTTCATCACTGATTCGGTTCTTCACTCAGTTGATGGAGGAATCTGTTATATTTGAGAATTATGCATTTTCTTGCATGCATAGTTGACACAAAAGAAACGCTAACATCTTAATGCAAAAAGAAAGGAAAGGGTTATGCAATTTACAAAGCTCATGGTTTGTAATGTAATGTAATGACATGTAATGGCATGTAATGTAATGACATGTAATGTAAAGTAATGTAAAGTAATGGGTAGTGGACTGACTGGTCTCAGTTGTTGGCTGCTGCTCCTCCTTGGTTGAGTCTTTCAGGTTCTCATACTCCTTCTGCATCTTGGCAGCCTCCGCCTTGGTGTTGTCTTCCTCATCCAAATCTTTTTCTGCAGCAGACAAACCGTACATGGAGAATTAAATTGTGTTGCCCGGTTGCTGCTAGAGGTACTTATTGCAATAGTTTTTGGGACGCTGTTCCTTTGAAAGTCCCTTGAACCTCCCAAAGCCCGCTTGTGAGTTTTGTCCCACATCTTGCTTGGAGAATTTGAGATGCTTAAAAGTTTTTAAAAAGTGTTTTTGCTAATTCAATTAGTCTATATTATAAACCATATGTAACAAAAAGAAAATGTGACTGTTTTTAGCCTCCGTAGCTTCACATTCAGACTGGAGAATAACTAGCGAGGATATTTACCGTTGGGTCCAGTGAAGTCAGGAAGCCCGAGAGCTTTGCCCAGCTTGTTCTTGGTCTGCATGGCTATCATAGCATCCAGGTTCTCTGCAGGTGGATGAAACGGGTCAAACATTTACTCAAGGTTTGATTAGCATCGTGACGTCAGTTCCCTCTACCGGCAATGAATGAAAACCTCCTATTCAACCTCTGAATGCCGTCCATGTGTGACTCAGAGTATGATTAACATTAGAAAGGGGTTTGTTCAGTTATTGAAATGAAGGTTCAACAGTACGACGATAGTCATAATAGAACATCTTATTCTCTTGAAAACCATTTTTCAATCATTTTGTATGCATTGTAGAATAAATATTGGAAAACAAAACAGAGCAATAATGTAGCCACAATTTATTCCAACGAGCACACATATTTTTGGAATCAGTTCATTTGTCGCGAGTGCGCATGGCTTAAGCTTTCCCAACAAGATTAGACAGTACAAAAGACCCTTAATTAGCCTGGGAAAAACCAAAACAGATCGTATGGCTGACAGACACTGAAGTTAAATGTCATCTGATCCTCTCTGGATTAACAAAGCGGTAAACATTGCGCTCAATAACCGAGGAAGCAGATGTTCTGGGGATATACACATCCCAGAGATCAGCTGGAAGTTCTGCTACAACACTTTTCTTTGTTTCCCCGTTTAGCATTTAGACGCACCATTCAAACACAAACAGGCTTTACCGAACAGGTAAAGAAGCAACAACGTTATGTCTCCTATAAAGACCTAGTTTGCACAAAGACAACTGTGTTCCACCATATCATCAGTCATGATCTCTGTATGCCCTAGACTCACGTGGCCCTTACATATAGATTATTGTGTGGTAAAAGTCGATTATTACATTTCTTTATATGCCAGGGCTTACGAAATGGTTAACAATGGGAAGTAAAAGTAATACAAGACCCAAGTTCCTAAAAAGCAGCTCTCCTCTTTCTGGACATTCATAAAAAGAATAGGATATTACGGATGTGGATATTACGACACAAGGACAATAAAGAGACAGGAGAGAACAGGGAGGCTTGATTTTAAGTTCCCCTCTCATCTGCCTCTTTTTTGTTCTCATTATCTAAGCATTCACTGTTTGTGCATTTGAGCCGCCTCCTCCCACCTGTAGCGCAGTGGAAGTCATTTCATTCTTTCCCTCTGCCCACACACACGCCATCCTTCTCCCTCCCGCACTCTCTCCCTATCTCTCCATCTGTCCTGAGGCCTGTTCTGCCCGATTAGCATTGATCAACAGGCCCGTGTGTATTCAGTTGTGTACCTGGGAACGTCACAGCCGGTAAGGGTAGACGTAGGGAGGAGAGCAATTACTCGTTGCTATGGCAATATTCCATCCTATTATATGCCCACAACCTATATGACATAAAACCAGAAAGGTTGCCTAGGAAACCGGTGTTTGATACCGGTGTTCAACATCAGCAGGGGTAATTTGTTCCGCTGTAAAAGACAACATGCTGCTAAGTGTTTTCTGAAAGGGTATCGATTGACCCTCATAACGTCCGGTTTAGTTGTAACAGTCGATCCTATAGTGGCCTACATACACAACGTAGACTACTTCTCATTTGGCTTAAGACGAATGATCAAACCATGAGTTAACAAATGCATTGGCCAAGAGTTTCTGATTAACTATTGAAGTCATTGATCAAAAAAGAACTTTTCTTTGTCTTTTAGGTTTTTCAAATATGTTTTAAATAACTGTTGATTGAAAAAGAAGCAATTTGGAGACATCTTCAAACTTCCGTTGGCAATTTTCCACAATTTCAATATCAAATGGTTGTGGACACTGAATGAGAAAACTATTGACACATGCCATTGATCTTTCTGCCCTAGATGAGTCGACGTATGCCGAGGTGATTTTAAACCTCTCCTGTGTATAATGTTTTCTTTACGTACGACTGAGAGCGTTATATTGGATCTTTGGTCTCCAGAGGCTCCCTCAGAAAGATGACAGCTGTCCCTTGCTGACCTTACCAATAGCCACTGATGTAAAGCGCAGCCATAAAAACATGCATGGTCGTAAACGGCGCCCCTGACACTAATCCGTCAGCACAGGCTTAACACTCCACGGCACCGGCTGATGAGGAACAACCCACTTGGAGGAAGAGGAAAAAGCACATGCTGTATATAAACACACAGACTGAGAGTCTGCTAATGCAATGGAAATCAGATTATTGAAAGTAATTAACTGAGGTCCACTGAAAAGCGTTTTATAGACTGAACTCCTTGCAAATGTAAAACTAGTTGGTATAGTTAACATTTGAATAATGAATATCCCTTTAGACAACATCATGTTGTAAAACAATATATAATGTGTTTATAACTACATACTGATAAATCAGCTTTTATGGAACTTTGTCAACGACCTTTCAACCATGTCATGACTACTAAAGACAAATACATTTAAATCATTTTCATCTCCAAGATCAAGAATGAACTGTCACACAAATGTTATATGCTCAACCCATTTGCGCTGCCCAACGTGGAAATAATATTATTTACCACGCGGCGGCCTCCAAAGATTGTTGCGTTCTGTCACTGAACGGCACCAGACTATGGATGAACAGTGGTGGTGGTGTGTCTCGTCTTACCCAGATAGGACACGCCCTCCTCCGGGGTGATGGTGCCGTACTTCACCATCATCTTCACGAAGTCAATCAGCGTCTTCATGATGGTGATCAATGTCTCCCTCTCCTGAGCGTCTTGATCTGCAACAGCAAACCACAGAACAGTGTTCCGTTGGTGCTAATTGGCTACCGCGGTGTTAATGTTACCACATGGCGTTTGACTGTGGGGGTCATGAGGACGGAATTATAAATAATTAGTCAGTTAGGAAGAGAAACAAGCATGCAGTGGTCCTTTACGAACAATATCGCCATGACAACCCGTGTCTGTGGCTGCTGTGAAAAGATGATTTCTAAACTGTCGAAGCCTTCTCGTCTTTACCTGAGTCGAGGCTCCTGAGCAGACGGTAGAAGTTGGGGAAGTACTGCAGATCCTGGAGCCCGTCTTCGGGGCTCACCTCGTTGCCGTCCTGTGTGTCTTTGTCCCAGGTTTTGGCGGCCGTGTCGCCCCCTTCTTCTTCTGCGTCCCTGTCCACCTCCTCCACCTCGTCCTCGTCTTCATCGTTGTTTTCGTCCTCGTCCTCCTCGTCCTTGATGTAGCTGCGCCTGGGCGGCTTCCAGGTGTCCTGTGGGTGACCGAAGTTTCCTTTGCTATTGTCCTTATCCTGATTGTCGTCACTGGTCATCAATAACACTTGTCACTGGGGTTTTACCTTGTCGGCGTCCGAGCCTCGATCTTCCTCTCCGTTGGTTTCTTGGCCATTACTGTCAACATCCTCAATCTCGTTGTCCCTGGCGTTTTTGGTGATGAGGTCCTGGAGCGCCTCGGCCACCTGGTACTCCAAAGTATCTGCCTGACTGTCTGTGATCTACAGGGGGGGAGAAACAAAAGAGATGGACAGAGAACATTTGTGAAATCATTTCATAAATCTCAGGGAGCGAAACTGGACAAAGCGTGAGCACACATGGCGATTTCCTGTTGAGTAAATGCCACACGACACATTGTGTTAAAACGAACAGCGCAAAAAGCCCGCAGCCTACCAGGCCCAGTTTGAGCAGTTTCAAGACGATCCTGTCGAACACCCCTCTGTCGTCCTCCTCGTAGATCTTGTTGGCGATCTTCTGGACAATGTCTTCCGCTGTCAGCGGAGTGCCGTCGATTTGGCGGAAACTTTCTGGGTCATCTGAGAGACAAGACGACAAACCCGTTGTCATTTGTTACTTTCCGATAAAAGAAAGGTTCTTGAATATCTTTCCTAGCTTTCCCCCAATGGCAGATTTCATGACGACTGCTTTCTCTCTTCTCTAATCTCTTTTGTACCCTATAAATGAACAGGAGCTGCCAGTAATAATGATTCGCCCTCTGCTCTCCCAGTATGTAACTTCTCTATATCTGCACTACTGAAAAAGAAATGTGCAATTGTTACAGCTTGACTCTTACATAACCGTCCCTGCTGCTTCCCGACTTCCACGCACAACAAAAATAAGCAGTGCCGGAATACTCTTTGCTCGTATTGGCAAGTTGAATCATGAGTGTAGGATTTTACCCATTTCTGTCTCACTACAGGAAATAAGAAATTAAATCCTGCCTTCACTTGCCAAATTTAGATGTAGCGTAACCGGACGAGCAGCCTGTTATTGCCGGGCCGTCCGCATGGATCAATGAAGTGTAGCACTCAGCACTTTGTGGCTGAGTCACCTCGCCTCTGAGACTCTCCTTTATACTGATGATTGAATCGAATTACATGCAAACACAGTGAAATGTGTGCTGATCCCATGAAATCTACAGGCCCCAGATCTATGAACGTAACGGAATATGATTGGATTTCGAGTGAACTCCCAAATGAGTTCAAAGGGAATGGTTGCTGTCTGCGTGTATACAAGAGTCCACCGTGAGGAGAAGAAGCTGGTACAGTAGCACGGCCTAAGCTTTCACCCCTGCAGTGCCTGACGGGGGGGGGGTCACATCTCTCTCTTGCATGGACCTTTTCCGTCTTTCAAGCGTACAGGTGTGCGTACCCTGGTACTTGCCGTCGTCCATCCTGTTCTTGGTGGAGTCGTAGTCCTCAGCCAGACGGCGGCTCTTGGTTGAGTCCGATTCGTCCGGAACGTACTGGTCCTCCTTCTCGGGTGGCCCCTCAGAGGTCCCCTTTGATTTCTGGCCGTCCGCCAGCGACTTCAGCACAGTCAAGTCATGGAGGTCCTGCTCTGACTCTGTGTCCTTGGAGGCCGCAAGACGCTTGCTCTCTGAAATACAGTAGGGACGGAATGATCAGACTGTAGACATACAAGAGGTAAAGATGAACTCCTCTCACATAAGTGTTAGGCGCTGCAACATGAACCGGGTGTTAATTGATTAGTCAGTAAGGTTTCTTCTTACCCGCTGACTGTACTGCAGCCTTCACACTGTCCGCCTCAGCAATCTGGGGAAATGACGGAACATTACACAAATGATCTCTACTCAGGATATAAGCTCTGATAAATAATGTTTGCCGGGCTAATACATTGGTTGTTTGACAAGTGACCATAAAGCCCATTTGGCCGGATATTGGATGATAAAAATAGCTGTGAGACAGAAAGAGATCTTACCTGGTCTTGTAGTGGCCTTTCTTCTGTCAACTCTCTGTTGTACACAGTTTTATCTGCAACAAAAATGTAATAATGTAACACTTTTAAGCAGTCTTTGATTTCTTGGGTCACTAATTGGAATTTCTCACACATAAATATGCTTCTAAACAAGACTCTACTATTGAGTTATTAGCTCATTATGCATACGATTAACAAAACCATTTTTTTCTTGTTGTCATTAATATACATTTGTGTCTTTTAGATTTATGTGATCGTTTATTTGGTCCAGACTCGCCATGTACCGCAGGGGCAGATCTTAATCGGATTATCAAACAAAAGATTAAACCGCGGCGAAAATAGACAAGCGGCCATAACATGCGAGCAGGCGTCATTGAACGCACCGCCGGTCACTGCTGAGCTGCAGCTGAACTTTACAGGCTCTGCTGTTTGCTATATTGCGTTAGTCAACGTGTTCATATGAACCTATAAAGCGCAACTATATTTGTATTTTCCTCTTGGATGAGAATATGTTGCTGTTGCATTACTCTTTTTTCACAGTTAAGTGAATATATGTACAACAAGACACTGATCGACATGTTTCACCGTGTTCGGATGGATCAAACGATTTTGATTTATTTGGTTGGCTCATCAATAAACAGAGTAACGTATCGTTAGTTGCGACAGTTTTACAGTAAAACTCTGTATAAAACCTCCATGTAGGAGTAATGGTAACAAAATACAAATAATACCGACAAGATAGTATCTCTTTAAAACCCGCGTACAGCACAATGTGTAAAAGGTGAACTTGACTAATTTGTTTTTTTCTGCAGATATTCCTGTATTTGTAAGACTTTCCAATGAAAGGCTCCGTACATAAGTTTAAGAAAACCACGTAGTTTTTTCTATTTTAATTTCAATTGTCCTCAAGAGTAGGGATCGTATTGCACCTCGTGGCATTTTTAAAAATCTTCGTTTGTAATCCATGACTTCCACGTGAACATTTCTTAATAGCGTATCTACACATCAACAACACATCAGCCTAATGCAACAATGCTTTACATTACGAGCGGACTAAAATGTCTCTCGCGCGGTCAGAAGCGATGGCCAACTCACCATCCGAGGAGGCTGTAGGTGTGGGGAAGGCAGATATCTCGCTCACTACGTTCAGGGATAGAAGCTGGAGAAGGACAAAAAGGCCGACGTATTTAGACGCCATCCTGAAATAAGCTGTCTCCGTGTCCCGGAGGAAGATGTACCCTGGCCGTCGGGTGCTGAATGTGTGGACAGCTCCGCTCCGCTTCGCCCGGTCGCTGGTGCTGAAACTGCCGCTGACGCTGCGCCCTGGACTCGTGTGTCGCCGGCCCTGCTTCCCCTGCGCTGAAGGACGGAGCCCGTAAGCCAATCAGAATGGGCTTTGTCCACAGCTGTAACGCGATTGGTTGTAGCCAGAATACAGGGCGGAAGCAAAGGTTGAAGTCCCGCCTTCGCCCTGTGGACTCTTGAGCTGGTTTGCAGGTAGATTCTATGCTAGTAGTATACCTGCTGAAGTGTACACCTCACCCAACACGACCCTAGAAGGCGCTGTTTCTACAGTGACGGTAACCCAAATGTGTACTCCTGCACATAATACAAGAAAGCTCACACCAACTCTCTCCTGCAACAAAACAAAACGTATGAAACATTTAAATACTTAGGACTTTATAATAATGTAAAGCAGTGGTTCTCAACTGGTCTGGCTCCGGGACACACCATCACCCCTTAATGACAAGCCGCGACCCAAATCGAGGAACATTCTCAACTTCTCAAATGTATTTAATGAAAATATGGTTCATTTTGAACCTGAGATAGTATGGAGACAGAATATGTATGCCAACACAAAAACAAGTTTAATGAAAAAACAAAACAGCCAGCTGGTAGCGATGCTTGAGAGGGAACTATTCCCCTTTACACTAAATTAGCTAAAAACCCAAAGTGTATCTTAAGGACAGAAGGTATTACAACATACATAACAATTAAGAATCTTCAGCCATTTCAAACAAACTCAACAGCTTTCATGCGCAAACAAAAAAGTCGAAAAAAGACACAAATGACCTAACTTTAACAGATCTATGACAAACACTATGTCTTGAGGAGCAGCTTTTGCACAAATTCAAAATAAATTAAATAAAATGCAATTCAAAAGGATTCAGATATACAAAATGAACGTGTGATGTGATTACCTCATCAGGAGGTAAATCCTGAAAAACATTGTGCTTTACAGAAAATTAAGCAGCACTCACTTCAACCTGAGGTGAAAACTGGCAAACTTGGAGGAATTTCTAATGGGAGAACTGGGGATGTTTTTTTTATCTTGGCAAGAGGTCATGCTCAATGTCCAGTCTATTCCTGTGTTTAGTCTTCAGCTGATCCAGAGCTGAGAAGCCCCACTCACAGAGACAGGTAGTGCTGAAGGGTTGCAGGACTTTTACTGCTCGAGTGGCGAGGGAAGGATACTCGCTGATCATGCTGCTGCACCAGAACTGGGAGAGGCTTACCTTCGCGTACGGTCACATGACAGCTCCATCAGCTGACTCTCCGTTGCTTGGCAATGTGACACTTTCTGTCGATTCCAAACAGGTCACGTATCCAGTCGTCATCCCTCTGTTTCTCGGGAAAGTAGTCATTAAACCGCTCCAGAAGATTATTCAGATGATTGTTTTCTCCATTACATTCTTGTCTGCTGTGCCAGAATGGTTTGACCCAATCTGGCACACGCTTATTAAAAAAGTCCCTTCAAAATAAAATCACAGGATGATTCTTTTTTTTAATTATTTCTAATTTTTATTTTCCCAGGCAAAGGCCCGCGACCCATTAAAAACGGACCCACTAGTGGGTCGCGACCCACCAGTTGAGAATCACTGATGTAAAGAGTGTAATAAATACGATGACAATGAATTTGACTGAGAAATGTAAGTGCATGTACAACACAGTTGAATAATTGGTTTATCAATGCAGTTTTGAATGTACGTGAAGTTTGGATGAATTATTGTTGAAGATATATTCCCTCAATAAGACCGAACTTTGAGAAAGGCTGAAAGGAGTGTTTGTTGTGTAAATTGAAGGATGATTTGGATAGGTCTCATGCTAATCTCTGGTATACTGTCACCGTGTGGTTTTATTTCCTGTCTTATTTTGTAGTTTTCTGCTTCTTGTCTCCCCGGGTAACTTCACTTCCTGCCTTGTCCTGTCATCGTCTGTGATTGTCTGATCGTTTCCACCTGTGTCCAATCACCTGCACCTCCCTAGTGTATTTAAGCCGTGTGTCTCTTGTGTCACTTGTCGCGTCATTGTCAATCGTCCTGGATGTCTCTCGTTCCTGCCTGCCTTTTTGCCCGTTGGCGTTTTGCCTTTTGCGTTTTGCTGAACGTAGTGAGCGAGATATCTGCCTTCCCCACACTTACAGCCTCCTCGAAGTCTGCGTTTGAGTCTTGCCTTCCCATTTAGTGCATTTGACCCAAAGACCAGACTCAATGATACAGTTACATTTGTCACTATAAGATATTAAATGGGTACAAAGCATACAATCTAAAGGGTCGGAAAAAATATATAAGTGAAAGCATCATATCTATGAACAGAAGTACAGATGACATCCATGCCCAATAATCTACAGTACAATATAATTAAAAATATAAAACAATTCTACATTGTATGAGAGGGTTATACAAATGTATGTTTGTAATGTAATCACATTAGGCTTTGATAATTTTATTAAGAACAGTATTAATGACCAAATCAGTATTATTTGGTCATCAAGACTTTCCGGACAACACGTCTGCGCCTCTCATTAAAAACAGGATAAATACCCTACAAATATTCCAAAGAAAGAAATCAGAAACAAGTTTTCCATTTTAACTTCTTCCCCAACTTAATTGCACATGTTTTGATGTACAAAAGACTACATTTAAAGCACTGCTCAGGTTTCAAATAGACAATTCTTCAACAAACTGCTCTACCCGGTTGGTTGTTAGATTGTCACAGGTTGCGGATCAATTTCCAAACGTGAATGTGTAGGATTTCAGAATGTGCAGTATGACTTGTTTTGACAGGCTGCAGTTTGTTCTGCAGCTTTATATTGAACTTTTCAAGAAGAATTTGCTCTATCTCATCGTCCATTATTTTTCTAATGTCAAAGACGTCCACTCCTTCGTCGGGTTTGTAGGTGACCTCCCCGTAGGTCCAACCAATCAGGGCTCTGAATCCTGTTGGTGCTTGCAAAGAGCAGATGGACTTATTGGTGAAGAGTGACGTCTCGTTCTGGAGTTTGTGGTTTATCTCAAGGAAATGTTCGGCCTCCCGAGGCACCAAGGTGAAGCAGTAGATCTGATTGGTTTCGTTCCTCTTCACCAGACTTGATTTGGCAAACTCTGGATTGAGAACCTCCGGCTTTCTACCAGTTTTCTCCAGCACCCACATTTCCCCCTGGTCAAGGAGGCGAAAGACACCCGCTGCCTGAGGTTGGTCCATTCCAGAGACGAGCTCCAGGGGCTCCCACAATTGAAAAGACGTGCCGAAGCTGACATCTGTTATGTAAGCCTTTCCATCAATGACAACCTTGTTGATGAAATGAGAATCAAGGGGGCCAAAATCATTGAGGGAATGGTCGAAAACTCTGGAGCCCAGCGACGTGGTGTCGTACCCCATTTCTCTCAGCACCCAGCCAAACAGGAAGTTGTTGTCAAGGCACCAACCTCCACGGCCGCGCCTCACGATCTTGTTGAAAGCGGCATCGAGGTCCATGACGTTCTTTTCGCCACAGTGGATGCTGAGGTTTTCAAAAGGGACGGACATGACGTGCTGTTTGTGGATCAACTTCAGTGTTGCAAGATCCAGTTCATCAAAAGATCCGTGGAAACCAATTCTTTCAAAGTATTCCTCCAAATTCATCTTGCCTGTAAAATAGAAAGACAGGAAATTACTTTCTAAAAAGCCCTTAAACCTAAATAAAACCAGTAGTTGAAGCCTGATATCTGTGCAATAGATGATGCTGACTGATTTAGAGGTCCCATCCACCAGTTACTGTTACAAAGCAAAAAATGGCACCAGTGATTAATTCTGAAAGAGTTTTATCAAACTAAATATCAACTGTAGGAAACATCTCTCCCCAGAAATACTTTATTTAACTAATATCTGCCTAATGGCAGCAGACAAAGGTGCTAAGGCAAACAAAACCAACTCTCCAACAAAACAAACAAGTGAAGTTGACCCACAGACACAAGAGGCAGAAAACTACAAAATAAAACAGCGCTTTTTGTTAAAATGTCACAAAACACATGCCAGGTTTGTCAGCAAATCTAAAATCAAGGTAAAACACAAGATGATCTGAAAATGAGTAGCACTATGGCCATTCTTACCTAAACAATCGGTGGAGGCTTTCAGTAGTTGCTGACAGGTCATTGCAGTTATTTGGAATGGCCTATCGGGACTCCACAGGACCTACCAAAATGAGATTGGTTTTTGCCGTTCTGAAAACAGAATGTTCTGTTCTGAAATTTAGTTAAAGGCAATTCACAGTCCTCTCTTCTTCCCCTGTAGCAAGTTAGCATTTAAAGGAATCAGACAGATGCATAACCTTGGGGGATAATTGATCTCATGCAGACTGTGAGTCTCTCGGGAACTCTACGACCTAAACTAGTCCGCGGTGTTCCAATGTGTTCTTTTACTGATCCAGTAAAAGAACACATGTGTGTTTTCCTTCAATACCTGATTATTCCTCCACACTGGCCTGGGAACGCTTTGGGATCCCCCAGTCAGAGGTGGCACATGTGGCCCCGGGGAAAGGGAAGTTTGGGGGCCCCTGCCGGAACTGTTGCTGCTACCCGACCCGGATAAGCAGTTGAAGATGAGATGAGATCTGTTTTCCTGCTCGTGTTTCTTTGTGCAGGGGCGTCCTTCTGATTGGACGACACAAACCTCTCTTAAACCTCTCCCACGGGAGCAGGATCCCGTGGCCCTTTTCAGCTGAATCGACTCATTGAACTCCTGTCTGTACTTATGGCTCGTGTTTGATGATTGGTGTATACCTTATGATTTTTCCCTATGTTAGTCTGTAATAAATACTTAATCACAAGCAATCTTAAGATACTTTTGATTCCTCACGAGGATATTATGCACTAATTTCCACCCCACTTAACTTGGACAATGGACGTTGAGTGGTTGCTGTAAAATTATCTCACTCAAGCCATTCAACTTCATGTCTGAGCATATCTGCTGCAGACAGATGAGTGCATGAACATGAATATATCAGGAACTGAATGTTTGCAGCAAATTAAAGGATAAAGATCAAAATTGCATTGCAAAAAAACAAACCACTTAGAAAATACATTCATACATGTATAATTACTTCTCTTCTCTCCAATTTGCAATTAATTGGAAAAAGAATTAAGGAGGTCACAGGAAACTTGGTGCTACCATCCATCCATCGTCAAACCGCTTATCCTGCACACAGGGTCGCAGGGGGGCTGGAGTCCATCCCAGCCAACTACCCAGACAGGGTACACCCTGGATTGGTCGCCAGCCAATCGCAGGGTGTACACTGTACTGTGGGGGCTACACAGAGACACACAACCATTCACACTCACATTCACACATCTACGCGCAATTTAAAGTCCCCAATTAACCTGATCCCCAGAGCATGTTTTTGGACTGTGGGAGGAAGCCGGAGAACCCGGAGAGAACCCACGCGGACACGGGGAGAACATGCAGACTCCACACAGAAAGGCCACTGGGCGGAATCGAACCCAGGACCTTCTTGCTGTGAGGCGACAGTGCTAACCACCACGCCACCGTGCCGCCACTTGGTGCTACTTTAGAATATATTAAAATTCATACAACATGGCGAGGGGTAACACTGAATCAACCAATTTCATGCAATATAAAAAGGAGCATGTGAGCATATTACAGACAACGAACCTCGTCTATTAGCTGTCTGAGCTCATCAGTCACACCTTTGGAGATCGCCTCCTTGTCAATTCCCCCGGCGGAGATGTAGCCATGGCAACACTCCAGGAGAAAGTTTGGTGGAGGAGCCGCTTGTGCAATCGGCCCGCCAGCCGTCCTGTAGTAAACGGTGTAATTCATGAGCAGACAATAACAAACAAATGTCACGTGGCATTACACAATTCGACATGCTTGAAATTGTCGTTCTGGTGGTCTATGAGTACTTCAAGGTTTTCCTTAGGAGTTCGTCCCTCAAAGAAACACCTGCCTTCATCTCTATGAGTGAAAGAAGAACAGTTCAAACCACTGTATTGTTTAAAATGTACAGCCCACATCATGTAAAACTCTTAACATACCGGTGCAGCACTCTGTCCTGAGAGCCCCATCATCAAAACAATAAAGAATCGTATTGACAAGTTAAAAAAAAACTTTCAGTTCACGGTTTACTCCACCTCAAGTGATGCTCTGGAGTTTCCTAGGAACTCAAGTAGTGAAGTATTGTCTAGGTGTAAACAAAGGCTTCTCTCTAATCTCTCCTGGACATGAGTAGATGCAGACTTAGATGCAGACAAGGTGACCAGTCAGGAGCTGGTGAATTTAAGGACTTGGGAGTCAACGTTTTGGAATTTCACTTCAATTATGAAACTATTGATTTTGTACTGTTGTGTTTATAAACTGTGACTTGACAGTTCATATTCATGAATGCAAGTGTATAACCCAGGCACCCGGATTTGAACTATATTTACTACTGAATGCAGACCAGCCTATAGTTCTTTATACTAAGGTCTCCATAGTGAGATACCAAATGCATTTTGCATTTATGAAATCGTACGTGTGCAATTGAGTAATACGGAAAATTACTTTTTTGTATCCACAGTCTTTTTAATAACAGGCTCCATGAAGCCAAACTCAAAAAATGGTTCATACAAAGAACATAAAGTACAAAACTTGGTTGAGCTATTACTTAGGGAAACAGTTACATTTTTCACTTAAGATTAGTCCATTTTACAGCAGATTTATAAACACAGATGGTGAGCAGCGCACACAATTGTAGTCCAGTCTGAAAGGAATTCACTCGTCGAACTCAGGAGCCTCACTGGACTTTAAGAGTAAAAGGGAACGTCGTATAAAATCCATCGAAAGTCTCTTTATGGAGTAATTCGAATGTCTTGCCTCACTTTAAAACCTGGCAAGAAGTAGGTCAGCCACTGAGCCTGAACAGGGAGTAAGCAAAGGAAAAGAACAAGCCCCTCGGATATGTCCATGAGGGGGAAAAAAGAAAAGAAAAAGGATCAGGACATTTTAGTGCTTGACAGTCTTCAGATATGGTGGTGGCCACGGGGGCAGTCTTTCAGTCCTCATTTGGGGACTTACAATACTAATCAGATTACACAGATTTGTGAATTTCACAAATCTACCGTTGAGGAATAAAGATACCCAATAAAGCAGTGTCCGGAAGTGGAATATGTAACATGGTTCGTTAAGGAATGACCTAAATATGATGGCTCCATTTTGCAAGATGCTTGAGCTACTACAACAGAAGTAACGTTACTAAAACTAAAGTCAGAAATAACACGTGGACATTTCTCTCGATCGATCTCGAGGAGCGCATCTTTGAAATAGAGCCAGCCAGGTGATGATCGTGAACCGGGGGGGGGGTTACTCGTTAGCGCTGTAGCTGTCGTAGCCCTCGCGGTAGGATCCCCCCTGGCTCCGGTTGTCGCGGTAGCTCGAGTATCCGCCGCCGCTGCCGCCGCCACCTCCGCTGCCGCCGCTACTCCTGTACTGGTTGCCGCCGGAGAACCTGCCCTCGGAACCGTAGCTTCTATCGCCGTAGCTTCTGTCTCCGTAGCTGCGGTCTCCGCCGTATCCGCCGCCACCTCTTCCACGCCCGCCGAATCCGCCCCCTCCGCGGCCTCCTCCGCCTCCTCGTGGTCCACTGAAACCTCCCCTGGCACGGCCCCCTTTTCCGGCTTCATCCACACGGATTGATCGACCCTCCAGCGTTTTGCCGTTCATGCCGTTTAGTGCGTCGAGGGCATCTTCTGCGTTGTCGAATTTTACGAAGCCAAAACCGCGGGACTTGCCCGTCTCTTTGTCTCGGATCACATCTAATTTTTCGATGGTTCCATATTTGCTGAAGGCCGCAGCCAGAGAGTCCTCGTTGGTCTCAAAGCTCAGTCCTCCGACGAACAGTTTACCTTCGTCCGACATGTTGGTCCAAACGACGACGAGTGAGAACGTGGGTCGAATAACGTCAAACGAGATGTTTAGAGAACCCGACTACTTGTCCACCGTGCTACGTAGTTGGGGAGCAATGGCGGCCGTTGTCGTCTTTTTATTTTGGGCTGCTGCTGCTTCTTCTTCTTCTTCTTCTTCTTCTTCTTCTTCTTCTCTTGATTTCCATGGCGGTTGGTGAACATATTTTGGGCGCACTACCGCCCCCACTCGTCTGAAGTGGGTGTCACGGTTACCGTCTCAGAACTTTTTGCTGCTTTATCTGCCTTCTGAATCCCGTAATCTCCAACACGGGAGGGTTCACACTCAAAATGAATAAAATCCACATTTGATGGATTCTGAATCGTGATTGTCGTATTATATACAATAAATCCGCCCCTGGAGTCTCACGTTTTTAAACAAGATTCTGATGCTATTCCTATTTAAATTGCTATTTAAAACCTTCTTGAATTTATTTACTATTCTATCAATATGTACATTCCAGGTGAGCCTATTAAACCAGGCCATCAAAAAAATTGAACGTGTCTATTATTTTCAACTGCTTTTCAACACACAAAAAAGTATATTTTTATTCCCTCAACGGAAATGTCAAAATTCACATTCTAATGACCATTGTTTCTCTTTTAATTGATTCCTGCATCTGTTTCCCGACATATTCCACGTTCCTACCTCATCTCCACATCATCTGCGGACATAAATCTCCCTACATTTTCTTCAACATCATCACACATACATCATCAAGCCTCGTTGCGAACAACAAAGGACTAATTTCCCTTTAATTTTGCGTTCAACTGTCCACAAAATGGCTGGGGGAGTAACGCCATCAACTGTTCCCCTTCACTTTCTAAATCCATTGATTTTATGACCTAAGATGTCTTATTTACACAAAATATACCTTTCTGTGATACCATGCTCCATAATCAAGAAGAGGTGTGTGAGGTCAATGGGCTGTAGATGGATTGCTGGGCTCTTTACCTGGTTGCCTGACTGCATGTTTCCAAATTCCTGGTAATTTTCCTGCCTCCCAAACCGTGTTGTATAAATGCAAAACCACCTGTAATGCTATGCATCTGGCAGTTGGTTCAACATGTGGTAGCAAATCTGATCTTTACCTGTAGCAGTTAGTCCTGATTTACACATAGACCGTGAAGGGAGCATTAATTGCATCTTCCCTCTCTTCATCTGTTTCCAACAATTCTATATTTGCTTCACTTCTTTTGTTCGTTCTTTGCCTTCCACCTAAACCCTCGTCTGACACATTTCGAGTTATGTAACTGAACCAATGCTTTATGATAGAACTGTTTATTTGGTGTTAGTATTTTTGGGGGTTGTTTATGAGTTGGTTAAATCTGTGGTCTCCTGGTGGTTATTTATGGAAGTAGGTAGTGCAGGACCAGCATGTGCGGAGGCGGGCCTTTTGGTTTTTAGCAGTGCAAAGAGTTCCTGCATGGACAATTTACTTCTTTGCCTGCCAAAAGTACAAGCCTACGGTGGTTCAGAGGCCCTGTGATTTATGCTTTTTTATGATTTATTAAACAACTGGCCACATGAAGTAGAAATCTCTCTCTTGGACTAAAATGGCAAATCCCTCATTTAAGATGGATTTAGGATGGATGATCAGCACGGATTGTTTAATTTTGGATTCATTTTGGATTCATCATCAGGGGGCAAAGCGATGCATCAAACGCAGAAACTTCTAAGAAGAAACTGGTATGCGATTTGACTGCAGCAGGAAAATGGGAAAACAAGTGGATTTAAACATCTGTATCCACAGTGTTGTATACGTGCTTCTTGAAGTTGAGAAGTCGTAGGCGTGGAGTAGCCGAATCACTGATTAACTGATTAACAACCCGACTTCAGTGTGCGTCTTTGTCTGATGAAATGTACCTCATCGGACAGGCAATACCATTGCTGTTTTTTGCAGCATATGCAAGAATTAAAATCCAATCTCATATTTGGATTTATGTGCCAGTAATTTCAGAGGAAACGTTCAAAAGGTCTGACTTTCAGGTGAATGATGTTCAGTGCCGTCGATTAACTTCTAAAGCCTCTCCCTTGCTAAGGCATTGAAGCACCTTTTGCATGTAGGAATTCAAACAGCTCTCGTCACGGTGGCCTATTGGATACTTACTTATTTTCCAAAAAGCACCATTCAACTTCAGCCAGCTTTTCTTTTTTTTGACAAAATGGGATTAAAATGACTATTTGGGAATAAATTAGTAAATCAGCAACACAAACCCGATGCAAGAACGAGTTGTACACTGTTTAATTCAAGCTTTAACCCATTGTTACTGGGCTCTTTGCAGCTGAAATGTGCAAATGATGGAATTTTCATGACATATTTGTATTTAATTTGTCATATATTTTGGCTTTGTTGCATAAATAACAGTTGACTGCTTTTCTACATTTTTTAAATGATATTTGCGTTTATTCTGAAGGCACAGAATACCAGACATTGCTCTAATGCTCCTGAGATATGACATTTAAAATAAATGCCTATCGACGAATGAGAGCAATGAACGTTTCAAACCCATGTGTATGAAATCATACATAACTTTTGACAATTCTACGGTTACATTTTATCATAAATGTGATAACCCTGGGTTGAATATGTAAAAAAGCATAGATGTACTATAAACACTCGTTATTGAAATATTTATGTAGGTTAGAAATGCATGAATTTGTTATCAAACACTCAAAATGAAAGATTTCAGAATCAGAATCAGCTTTATTGGCCATGAATGTTTACACATACATGCTCCCAGTCGTACATAGATGTGCAGATAAACAACAGAAATATAAAAATATGAAAAAAGACATTAAAGAAAACAAAAACTAAGCATAAACATTTACTAGCATGTACAATATAAATATGTAGTGCAAGTAGTGTTAGTGTGCTCGTTGAAGTTGTTAGAGAGATCATCCGTAGCCATATCGAGAGGAGCAGGTGACAGTATTCCACCTGGTCGGACGCCACTGGTCACCAGGAAGGGCGCAGACACATTCTTATTCCATGCATGGCTGGATGCAAATACCAAAAATGCAGAAACCTTATGATGTATGGAGGGACCACTCGCTCATGTAGTTTGATTATTTTTATACACACATTTATCGTTGGTGGTTATTACGCATTCTGGAAGCCTTTTAAACGAGCTTTTGACACCATGAACGGTGACATAGCAACTCCTGAACAAAATGCTTACAAAGGCACCATTCTGCAAAGTTGGTTAAAAGTGGCTAATTTATGAGTTTTATCAAATTTTGAAAAGTAAATCCTGGTCATATTCTCTACCTCTACCAGATGAACCGTATTTGAACCAGTCCTGAACTTAGTCTTATATTGATCCTATATTGAATCACACTTGCGCAGACCTAAAAACCACCCAAACCTAAAATATCAGCGGAGGGTTGCAGTTATTGCTGTTATTTGGAATGCATTATTGCCGCTAGAGGCACCATCGACAAACATTTTTAATCTATAAATTAATTCGCCCAAAAAAAATCGGGGTATTTAAGGAAGACATATTTTCAATAATCTGATTTTCCTTAATCTTTACAAAGCTCGACACTTGTTTTTTATAGCCATAAGAGACTGATTTAGAGAAATGGTGATGAGATTTGGTGTCAGTTTACGCTACAACATAAAAGGCTTTGATGTTGCAGGTAGGCATTTTATATTCAGCTGACTGGCATGACAAATGTTCAAGTGAAACCTCCAAACTGCCATTTCAAAAGCTCGTCTGATTTGAATGAAATTATTGGCTGTGAAGGTCAATATAAAAATATGTTCTTACAATTTTCTGAAAGTGTTTAGAATATTTGATAAGTCAGCTTATTAACCCATGTTTTCTTGTCCTGTATGGAAATGTGAACCCTTTTCTTTTTTTGAAGTTTTTATTTTCTCTGCAGTGAAATTGTACATGAGCAATTGAAGAAGGAGTGGATTTTTTGTTTCTGTCCACAGTCTGTTTAATAGGCTCCGTGAAGCCAAAAAGAAACTTAATCATACAAAGAACACAAAGAGTACAAAACTTCCAGGCTGAAATAATACTTTGGGGAAAACGAAGTTACATTTTTCTGTCACTTAAACACAATTAGTCCATTTCACAGCACATTTCAAACGCAGATGGTGAGCCTAGCACAAAAGAGAACCTGGACAGACTTCGCTATTCCAGTCCAAAAGGAATTCACTCTGGACAGCTGGACTAAGTTTAATAGTAAAAGGAACTTAGTATAAAATTCACCAAAAGTCTCTTCATGAGCAATTCGGATTTCTCACTTTAAAACCAGGCAAGAAGTAGGTCAGCCACTGAGAATAAGCGTAGGGAGAAACAAAAAATGACATTACAATAAAAAAGTGAAACAAAAATAACTCCGGAATCCAAATCAGGAAACTTTACGTGTTCGATAAAGTCTTCAGCGATGGTAGTGGCCACGTGGAGAGCAGTCTTTCGGTCCTCGTTGGGGGACTTACAGTACTAATCAGATTACACAAGATGCCTTTTAGTTAACAAACGACCGTTGAGGAATAAAGAGCCCAATGAAGCAAAGTAAGAGTCCGGAATTGGAATTTGTAACGTGGGTTTGTTAACTCGTGGCTAGCTACACTTTGTGAGACGCTTTTACTACAACAGAACTACAAAAAATAACTAAGGTCAGCAATAAAACGTGGACATTTTTCTCGAGGAGCGCATCTTAGAAATAGAGCCAGCCAGGTGATGATCTTGAATGGGGGTGAGGGTTACTCGTTAGCGCCATAGCTGTCGTAGCTATCGCGGTAGGAATTGCCGCGGTCGTATCCGCCCTGACCCCGGGTTATCGCGTAGCTCCGAGTATCCGCGCGCTGCGCCGCTCCGCTGCCGCGCTACTCCTGTACTGGTTGCCGCCCGGAGAACCCTGCCCTCGGAACCCGAAAGCTACCTATCGCCGTAGCTTTCTGTCTCCGTAGCTGCGGTCTCCGCCGTATCCGCGCCGCCACCTCTTCCACGCCCGCCAAATCCGCCTCCGCCGCGGCCTCCTCCGCCTCCTCGTGGTCCACTGAAACCTCCCCTGGAGCGGCCCCCTTTTCCGGCCTCATCCACACGAATCGACCGACCATCCAGCGTTTTGCCGTTCATGCCGTTTAGTGCGTCGAGGGCGTCT